ATCTGCTTTGAGCCTCAAGTCATTTCAAGTCTTTAAACTAAAGTACCAACTGCAGCTTAGATTTTTGCAGTTTATATGAATTTTAAGCTAAATTGTACTTTAAAAAGTCATAGTATATTTGTACATGTGTATTTATATAAGAGTTGTAGAAATGCTAATTTTTCCTTTTTAAATGTCTTGTCAAATTCTTAGTGTGAATCATTCCAGTCAGAATAGAAAGTCTTCACAAATCACAGGGCTCAAATCCAAGTGAAGTCCCAAGTCACTGACCTTCAAGTCTAAGTCGAGCCCCAAGTCTTGGTCTATTTTATCAAATCAAGTCTTACTCGAATCCAAGTCATGACTTGCTATCTAACGCTGCAAGTCTGTTCATTCACTTTGCACATGTATTTTAGGAACTTGACACTGCTTTTCTAATTGCTTAATTTGGTGTGATAGTACAGTAGGTCAGTTAAAGGTCCTATACTACGCAAAATTGACTCTTGTGAGCTTTAAGTCATGTTATAATCTTGCTGCCTCACAAAAACATACCTGGAGTTGCATTTCCTTTCATTCACACATGTTTGAGTAACCCTTTATTATTAGTCTGTCTACAACTCCAATGTTCAAAATGCTCTGTTCCACCTTGTGATGTCATCTTTTACCAATTGTTTAGTAGAAATAGGCAATTTGTTGTTGTTAGAGTTGGTCTAAAGTAAATAGTTTCTTGAATGTATTTTGTACCTGCCCAAGGACTGCAGATGGAAAGTATCTGGTAGCTAAATTTGGCACCGAGCATCTTTTCTCTCTGAGATTAATGTTCTCTGTGCACTGTCCTTGTATTAAATAAATCAGAATTTTGGCATTTATTGCCCTAACAACATGAGAGTTATGTATGGAACAGACAAACAAACAAACCAAACAACAGAAGGACACACAGACAGACGTTCCTTGCATTAATAGATAGATAAATAATAATTGTTTTGACCAATTAAAATGAATAATTCCTAGGATTAAAACACAGTGGAGCACTTATATTGCACTTGTATTACAACATGACATCACAAGGTGGAAGAAAGTGTTTTCAGTTTGAGCCTAAACATAGCCTAAACATAAGTCTCTCATAATGTCTGTAATGAGGACACAACATTATCATATACATCATAAAATAGTGTAATATAGGTCCTTTAAGTGGCATTTTGTTGAAAAAAGTAGAGATAAAAAATATAAAACAATTAACAAGACAATTAACATGCAAGGAAGGCATTTTTTTTATAACAATTTGGATGCTCATTTACAAAAATAAAAGTGTTTTCATTTCATTTATCTTTATTAGTCCAAACAAAACAATGTGCAATTTAGCCCATGTTTACATTATGGTTTCTAGGTGAAAGTTATGGATTTACCTCTACGTATGCCATATCTGGTAGACATATGTGCAATCAGGAAGTAAAATTAGAAACTTCACAGAAAAAAAAAAAGAAAAAGAAAAAAATAGCCTCAGAAAATGTCCAGTATTTTTTTTTTTGTATACTCACTTAAACATCCACTGTCTAGAAAAGTGGTCTAACTATGGCCCTGTCACGATAAATTTTAAACTCTGAAATACTGATGAATATAGGTGATAAATGATAATATTGAAACTACGGTAATTTATGTAACTGACACAACAATGCAAGAGCAGATTTCACCCACAAAACTATTCTAAAATGTACAATATTGTTACAGAATCATGAGCTGCAACACTATATACTGTAGCAAAATTAATCTTGCATCTGAAATGAGTCATAGTTAAGTTACTTATTCAACCTTCTACAGCTCAAATCTTGTCACAGAATGGAAAAAAAACACTAAGCTCCTCACTAGTACTCACGATAAATATCACCCCCCAAAACGATTGTTCCATCTAATATGTTTTTAATCATATCTCAACATAGTATTTATCATGACAGGCTTATTTATGGTGAACAGGTGCCACAGGGAGAGCTATGTCTCCTCGGGCTTACTGTCATGGTCCAGAATATCACTGCATATATTAAATGAGCATACAGTGTGAGGATCATTTCATTTCTCCTTGGTGATAGTTTAAGTTGAGGAAAGTTGTGCTGCTCCACTTATTGAGCGCTCTCAGATGAACTGTGTAAACAGGGATGCCTCCCACCTGCTGTGCACTGGAGGAGGAGGGACAAGTGGGCTGTGGACTTTACTTTGATTACAGCCGCGTGCAGCTCACTGACCAACTGCTACATCATGTCAGACTGCTCTTCTGAGAAACACTATCAGCATGTGAGGAAGCTTCCATTCTTTTAAAGCCACAATATTGTCACTATTTAGCCATTTTGGTTACGTTGGTTGCTCTGAAAAACTTAGAAAAACACGTGTCCTTACTATAAGCAGGGTTGCATTTTCACCTGACTCTTATTTGACCTGGATTATTCCTTGTGCCTTTGTTCATGGAAATGTGTCCTTGGCTTTAATCTTCCACAGTGTTGCATAAAAGGTATCAATATCCAAGAATTTTCCCAAGTATAATCTAACTTTCTGTTTCCAGGGAGCCATGCAGACGACATGCCACCTCCACAAAGTTAAATACTGTGGTTTTTACGTCAAAATTCTTAGTACCTTTGGGTAAGGCTTAATTTTACTTAAGCAAAAAGGATAGGATCAGCTGATTTGAAGAACAGAGACTCTTGGAAAGTCCTGGATGCTGCTGGGGTCTTCTAGGCGTATGTGGTTACTGTAAGACGATATGAAATGTGAATGACAACTCAGTGCCTCCAACAGAGTATTTACTGCAGTTCTGACTGAGAGAAGGTGTTTTTCTGAGAGTACTTTTATTCACTACTGTACAATCCCTCTGCCATTCACGTGAAATACATCAACAGGTAACCATTTGGACAAAAAAGAAAACTACTTTGCACTGTCCATTCATAACACGCCTCACCTGTTTAAGTTTCCACTGCTCTATACGAACACTACTATCACATGTTCCTGCAGAGAGCTATGGAGAGTGGGATACTAGTGTTTACTACATGTTCGCGTACTTGTGGGGGCACCGCGGTCCAGCTGATCACATCACTCAGGGCTTCTGGGTGCTGCTCCGCTCTCAGATCAGGCAGACGGACAGGATTTGATTACACCAACAGGCTGATTGGATTTCCCCCGGACGCCTCGCTCACAAATACCTACAGCAACAAGCAACCGGGCAGCTCCTGTGAGGGACCACCTAGAGCTCAGCCAGACTGAAATTAGGTCTACAAGAGAACATAAATAAGTAAGATTAAAGTGCAAAGTGACATTTTCTACTACTGTTTCACTAATATTATACTATTATATTTAAAATGTAAGCTTTATACTCTTATTTATACATTTAAGACATTACTAATTCTCTTGACTAGGTTTTATTGCTTTTTAATTTAGGTGGTTATAATTTCACTTCCTGGTTGAACATGGGCAGCAGAGATGACATACTGTATGCAGAGGTAATTTCATAATTTACCTAGCAACCAGAATAAAAGAGCCAAATCTTGTCTAAATTCCACTATAATTATGATTAAATTTATAACAATAAATGAAAACCATTCCTTTAATTTGTTAAATTAATATTTAAACTCACAGAAAAATACAATAATTATTAGGGATGCAACAATATCCAAATCTCTGTACGATATTATCACTATATGCATCTCATGGTACGGTATTTATTTTTTATTTTAGGCTTATATAATTGTAGATAGGACACGTTTCTGCTTTTAAAATATCTTGACAAGATTTTGGTGTGAATTTTCCATCATAATCCCAAGAATTCAAATTAAAAACATAGTTCTTCATGTCATTTGAGCTGAAATGAATCATGGGATATGTAGTTCCCGATGTTTATAAGATAATGCTTCTATAAAACCATGCATTTAAACAAAGAAACTTGTAATTCAATATATTGTGACAGCCCACGATATTATTGATATTATTTCAACTTTTTTCCACACACTGCTACTACAATGATTGATTTATATTTTGAGACATTCAGGGGTAATACTAGAAAAAAATAGAAAAATATTAGCCACAGGTAGTACCTCACTAAACCAATTAGGCCCAATAATTAGGAAAACATGAGAACCTGTCATATGCACATCAGCCTCATGGCCCACTTTAGTGTAGCTGATTGCAACAAAAAGGGCATCCAGTGTAAAAAAATAAATAAATAAATAAAAAAATTAAAAGGTATACTACATTTCCATATAGGTTCCGAAAACTTCTGGTACCGCACGTTATGGCTTTGTTGAGAATTTTCCACACTAGGACATAAACATATCTACATTAAACATCCTTTCTTACTGTAAGCGGGGTCGCCTGTCCACAGATCTGCCTAGCAGCACCACCTGCAAATCTGTCACCATGGGGACAGATTTGTTCACATTTAATGCCCTACTGTGGGGCATTCCAGGCAGAGCGACACTATCGTCATGGAGACAAACAGGTGGCAGATCCTCCTCCAGAAATGTGTCTTCTGCATTCAAGACATTTTTTCCTTTAGTCGTCTCTGCCAAGCTCCAACTGCAATGAATATGGACCTTATGGATAGTAAAACAAATACATCAGAACAGGATTTCTTGCTCTGCGACTCCAACATTCTAGAAATATATATACATTTCGACAAAATTTACACTATTTGACGTTATCAGTTAATCTCGAGTGTGTCTCAAAAATATAATAATCTTATTTACAAGGCTGAACAGGTCACGGAGTTGGCTCAAGATGCCAGTTTGTAGATACCATCTGATTTTATCGCAGAAAACTAATGCCGACCACAGAGTGACAACTTCTCCACTGTAATTTCCGCTTCCCTCAAGAAAAGAAGTTCATTTATCTCCATTTGTCAGGCAATCTGGACCTCACAGTTAATCTGAATTAGCTCAACAGCAGCGCTTCTTACGCCCTCTAGTGGTCAAGAAAAGACTGAGAATGCTGAATGGAGCCTGCTCTAGTTCACATGAGTCTGACTAATAATAGAAACCAACTCATTGTTATTATTAAATACATTTTATTACACAAATGACTAAGTTGATGTGGTATTTTGACAGAAAGCCAGAGCTGTAAATGTCATTATAGATTTGTTTCATGAAGACCAAGTGCTTTGAATTCTTGCAGTATACGCATTTATACAGTATATCACTATTATGCTGCTTTCAAGTGCATTTCGGATCATTTCTGTGGTAGTTTAGTTTACTTCAATGGTGGAGCTTCATTACATGATGCTGCGTTCAAGAGTGTGATGTTTAAAAGTCATTCAATGTAGGGTATATATTGTCTGATCTCACATAGTAAAGTATTTCATATTTTTAATTAATTTGTAACCTAACGTCTTCCATTAAAGCTACCATCTGCAATTTTATTTGATTTTCTTTCACCAGTAGACGGCGATGAAAAACCCTGCTCCCTATGGATGTAAGGATATCCAAATCTCACGGTACGATATTTATTGCGATATTTTGAAGAGGCTGATATAATTGTAGATGGGACACTTTTTTTGCTTTTAAAGTACCTTGATAAGATTTTGGTGTGAATTATTTCCATCATAATCCCAAGAATTCAAGTAAAAAACATATTTCTTCATGTTGTTTACACTGAAATGAATAATGGGATATGTAGTTCCCGATGTTTATAAGCTGTTGCTACTATAAAACAAAGCAAAGGAACTTATAAGTCGATATACTGTGACAGCCTATGATGTTATTGTGAGAATTCTGACAATATATCACATCACAATATTTCGGTTATTGTTACATCCCTGCAGCTCCCCTCTCCAAAGCACAATAGCAATAAACAATAGGCTCTATTCATGCTTACCTCACAAACGAGAAAGACATTTGGAAACATGGGACGACAACTTCCGGTGTAGTTACCAACCGACTGTGATAAAACCCACTGAAGTAAATGTAATCAGCGGTAAAATGAAGACTGCAGAGTGACGTATGTGCTGTTTGGAATCATCTTGAATTTGGCGCCGCATCTCTTCTAATTACATGTACCCAGTGCGCTCAGAGTTGTGCGTCAGTGGGGAAATGATGAAAACTGAAGTATGTTTGTAATTGTTGATTAGCCGAACATAACAGAACGCATTTTCTCATTTTTCCTAGATTTTGTGAGACTTACTACCGCGAACAGTGCCTGGAAGTTGTAAACACATGTAATCACACTAACATAGAGAGCATTTAGTGGTGGTAAATGAGATTATAATGTGGTATTTACAGGTAGCTTTAACAACAACGGCACTCCTTACTTTCATCAAAGAAGTATAACAAAAACTGGCTTCACAGGCTTGTCATGAGCTTCTGCGTGTTGATAATTCATACATAAAAATTACCATCTGCACTTGAAAGCAGCATTACATCATTTGACCAAACACGGGCAGTTCCCACCCATCCATCCATCCGAGCCCCTCACCTCCCCCTCAAGTCTCTAGTCTCAACCCCAGTTGGCGTCGTCCTCTTCGCTCGCCTGGAGGATGTCCGTGACCAGGCCTGTGCCGATGGTCTTGTTACCGTCCCTCAGGGTGAACCTCTGGCCTTTCTCCAGGACCATGGGCTGTCGCAGAGTGAGGGTCAGCTGTGTGTCCTCCCCGGGCATCACCATCTCCTACAAACACAACACGGCAAATGCTTTTTATTAAGAGGTATTGAAAGAGTGCAGTGCTTTTACTATTACAACTCGTATTTATAACACTATCATGTCTACCAGATCATGACTCTGCCTCCCAACATCACAACATTTCATTCTTTCATTTGCCTCTCACACTCCTGTTTTTCAGTTCAGATATGGAAATTGATCCTTTTTGTATCTGCCAATACCCAATATTAAGCGATACCACTGAGGAGACTGAAAAAGCAAAAGCAAAACACTGTTGACTTACTACAAAATGTCTCCAACTGTGTTATTTATCCAGTATGTATTGAAAAAGTTTGTATAAATTAAAGTTCAAACAATTGGCCACTAACCAATATAATGGAATCAATACCCAATCCAGCTAATTTTCCTGGATTGAAACAGATATTCAATGCCAGTATCATTATTGGTGCATTCTTACAATACTGTACATGTATAAATTTAGTTTATACTTGAACTAAACTGAACTAAACAACTAAATAATAAATAAAAATACTAACACCATGACTATGCCAAAGGTTAGGATATGGCTAATTGGTAAGAGCTGGTTAATTGAGCATAAATGTGGTTTTATTTTATGGCTGCACATTGTTAATACAATAAAATTTATATTTGAGTGAGCTATACAACTTTTCTGGCAAATGGTCTGTCACTTTGTCTCCATAGAGAAGTTTCCTTGCACAGACTGATCCACAGCTAATCTATCACCAAACAAACAGATCGGGCTCAGAGATGACATAAGGTCAGAGATTAGGTCTATGGAAGAGTCTAGGTGTAGGAATAACATCTACATAGAGACAAGTTGCATCCTCTACCAGAATAAAATACATAGAGCAGCTTTGAGTTTAAGGAGCCATACTAAAACCAACAAAGATCCCATTAACCACTGAATGTGCCTTTTATTACCAGTTGAAGAGTTACCACATTTTGAGTTGGCAGTGTTTTAATACCAAAGCCATCTGATCACAAGTACCAAGAACGGACTTGTTAAACCAGCTTTGTCTCAGATTATGTGACGCTCACGAGGCCCACACTCGTCCACAAGTCGTAGAATATAAAACAGTAAAACAGCAGCAGCCCGCTCACCTTCTCTGTAGGCAGAGTGACCCGGCAGGCCATGTCCCAGGTCAGAGAGAACATAACAGGCATAAAGTTGGTTACAAATGGCTTATGTCTTCCACCCTCTTCTTTACTCAGTACATAGACCTGTAAAACAACACAGTCACATAGTTAATCAGTGGTCCCTGTATTGTTCGAGACTATTAAGGAATTCAGTGTCATCCAAATATTCAAAATAATTTCAAAATTGTGAAATGGGACAAACAGAGGCAAAATGAAGTAGATCATCAGACACTAACAAAAATTAACCATATATCATTGCTAATGATGATAAAACATAAATAAACTGCCCTTTAAAATTTGCTTTCACCTTTGAAAAACATACAAATTCACTTTTATAGCCCCTATATTGTATTTTAGTGTAACAAACTAGCATCTGTGGTAAATATGTGAAACTATAGATATTAAACTACCATTTGGTCAACATTTCTGGATGGTGCTTTCAGCTAAAATGCTAAATGTCTTTACTAAAACATTACTTTATTTAACCATCTTGATTTTTCATAGCCAAGTTTCTCCACTGAAATTGCATTATATTCCACTTCAGTTTTAGAATGCATGTGATTGTACATTTTAAAGGGTGAGCTTATTGACCTGAGCCTTCACTTTCCGGTGTGGTAGTATGGAACCTGGTTTACACATGACCATCCCCCTCCTCACGTCCTCCCTCTTCAGGCCTCGCACCAGGGCGCCCAGGTTATCGCCAGCCTCGGCCCTCTCCAGAGACTTGTGGAACATTTCGATACCTAAGCACAGTACAGCAGAGCACCAGTGTCAGAATGTTTACCAGTATTTTTTCCAGATTCAAGGATACATTTATGAAAAGTCTTAAATGAATCTATGCTGCTGGGTGATCTTTAGGTTTATAATAGGGGTGGGACATTAAAGAGTTAATTACGATTCATTAATTACAAAGAAAATAATGCAATAAAAATATTAATGCATTCTATTGCATTAATATGATCGTTTGCCAGTGCACCATGTCATGGTACACACACAGTTCTAACTGCAATAACATTGGAGCATGAAAACACTCTGGATCTGCTGGATAGTAAATTTCTATTTAGAAAACTACCCAAAGGAAGAAATGACAAAGGCGTCATTTATTGCAAACTGTGCAGAGAAGAGTTTGCATATCACAGACGCACCTCAACCCTACGAGAATATTTAAATGCAAAACATGTAACAGTGAGCACAGAAACTGTGGGAGCAGTTCTGGTCCGAGTACAAACAAGAGGAGTCAGCAGCCCAAACTTGAACAAATGACGGGCTTCAGGAAGAAAATTAGTAAATGATTAAGGCAAATATTGATATGTAAGTAACTGACATTAATTAATTACAAAGCCTGTAATTAATTTGATTTTTTTTTTATCTACTCCCACCCCTAGTATATAACATTAAAGATACACCATGAAACTTTTCTGTGGGGATCGGCACCTGCTTGTCTCCAGGGTGATGTTATTGCAATTCCTGTGAATTCTTACTGTGGGCTGATCTGTAGTAACATTACCTAGTGATGTCATTGTCTCTGCTTGTCTCCATGAAATAAGAAGATTAAATAATTCCCATACTGTGAATCATTCGAGGCAAGGATCCTACCTGTCCCCATCTCTATTATTTAAACCCAGGGATGGAAATAAGTGACAATTCCTTTTAGGTGTTTAAAAGGTGGCTTTGTGGTTGTATTACCTGTTACCACAGACTTGAAGACTTTGTTGTGTCCTACGAACTCGCACTCATCTCCCTTCTTTATAACTCCTTTCTCCATCGTGCCCGACACTACTGTCCCCCTTCCTGAAAGACAACAACATTTACAGCAAATTCAGCAACATAAAAATATATGCAATGCACAATTTAGAACTGAATGTGCAAGAAAAATAAATATACCTGGAATAGAGTAAACCCCTTCAACTGGCAGAAGGAAAGGCTCGTCCAGCTTTCTTTTAGGCAGAGGCACGTAGGAGTCCACTATCTCCAAGAGTTTCATGATTGCATTTACTCCCAGCTCAGGTTGCTTGTTCTGAGAAAAAAAAAAAAAAAAAATAAATTATATATAACTGCATTTGACATAAAGAAAATTATTTGAGCGAAATAAAAGCGCATTAAAAAAAAAAAAAACATTCAAAAGGGAAAATATTATGCTTTTAAAATTTTTGTTGGATTTGTACATCTTGAAATTATTTATTGTGCATTTATGAAAAGTCCCAGAGCCTGTTCTTTTTCTTACAACCAAGAATATTTGAATTAGATGTCTGGCGCCTTCTGATGGCAACAATGGGAACTGCAGTTTTTGAATCATAAATGAGCAGTGTCGCTATTTTAAACAGAATGGTAATAGATTGGATACAACTTCTAAAATTACCCTGCTATTTTCAAATGCACACCAAAAAAAAAAAAACATCATCTGATATCTATTCTGGAGTTATCAGATTATTAAAAAGCCATGTAAAACAGCTGCATCTGATGAGAGTAGTCTGATTTTTTATTTTACACAATACATTTTGACAAGGAAAACTACGCAATAAATGGCAAATTATTGTGGTAAAGACAAAAAACAAAAAGAAAGTGTTCATGATTGAAAGAAAAATTTTCAAATTAATTGTACTTTGTTGTTCAAATACAAGTTATTCTAAAATACCACAGATTTTTCTTGCATGTAACACGCATTAAAAATCATATCTGTTATTTTTATCATGTGATTATTGTAGTCTAATTCTTTTCTAGCCATGGAACATAAATGTAAAAGTGTTCGGTATAGCCCTTTAGAGACATTCACTGCTCAGTAGTTTTGTGCCTGGTTATTTGTCCACAGTGACAGGTTTTGCCCATGTTATAGCTTATAATTAAACATACCAGATATATGTTTATGTGGAGCAAAAGATGACCGTGGTAAAAGCATTAACATCCTAACTACCAACTCGATAGGGAATTTACCTCCAGGGCACAGAGGGCAGATCCAATCACAACAGGCGTGTTCTCTCCGTCGTATCCGAACTCTGTGAGCAGCTCTCGGATCTCGATCTCCACCAGCTCCAGCATTTCCTTGTCCTCCACAGCGTCCGCTTTGTTTATGAACACCACCACATGTTCCACACCGATCTGCCGGGCCAACAGGAGGTGCTCACGAGTCTGCGGCATCTGTCCGTCTGTCGCCGCCACCACCAGAATACAGCCGTCCATCTGAGCTGTGCCTGTGATCATGTTCTGGGAGAAGGATAGAAGGATGAGTGGTTAATAATAAAATGGTATTAAGATATTTGCTGTATGTCAGAAGAAGTGACAACACAACATTTTGAAGCAGTGGTGGAGCAAAAAGTGTCACTGGACTGCGCTGGGACAGCTCTGGATAAAGCTTCCAGCCAATAATAATTTAGTGCTTGTTAACAAATCAGTCGTTAATCATACACAAACCAAAATAGCATTAGATTAATTAATGCATTGTTTTTTTTAAATGCAAACAATTAAAATTAAACACATACGTACTTCCAACTCTTTGTTAACATGCATAGGTGATAACATAAACAGTGGTCTTGGAGAAACTACAGAATTAAGGACACACTATAATTTATATAAGAAGCAACACAAGATCTTTCTCGAGCTGCCATGTCACCTTCATGATCATTCTATGGAAATTGTTGAGTTAAAAGCATACTCGGGAATATTTTCCAGTGAGATACACAATAGGAATACTTTGGCTATTAGTATCTGCCTGTGATATCAATCGATACTGGGGCATAGACTAAAATTAAGTAAAACTAAAATTTATTTCCTTTAAACATACAGCATAAGATACAAAACACGTTTGGATATGTTTTAACTCTTATTTAACATTTTAAGTAAAAACAGAACAATTTTGAAATATATCACGAGGTATTTGGGCCAACATTGTCCAGTAAGTCATCTTTTTAGATAAATTTATTGACCAAAACTGAATTAATACGGACTGAACTGATTGATTAAAATTTTCAATATCTGCCCTGGTGCATCTCTAATAGATAATTAACACAATGGCATAAAACTTAATAGAGCCAAAGAAGGTGCAAGCCCACTTACAGTAGTGTCATGGTTTTTCAAAATGTTTTTCAATGCAAAAAACAAAAAAACAAACACACATCTAAATTAAAATCATGCTTTTATTAGTCTCCCTGCGGAGAAATAAAAAAAACTAAACAGTACCTTGACATAATCCGCATGCCCAGGACAGTCTGTGTGGGCATAGTGTCTGTTGGCCGTGGTGTATTCTACGTGAGATGCATTGATGGTGATTCCTCTGGCTTTCTCCTCTGGGGCATTATCAATATCCTCATACTTTTTATAGTTAGCACCACCAGCATCTGCAAGAACTGAAAAAGAACACAGGAGAATTAGAAACAACCATGTAGTTATATAGGAACATTTCAATACATGGAAAATTGTGAACCTCATCCCCGCGTTAGGTACCTTTTGTAATTGCAGCTGTCAGAGTGGTTTTGCCGTGATCAACGTGTCCAATGGTTCCAATGTTGACATGCGGCTTGTCTCGAGTGTACACTTTCTTGGCTTCAGCTGCAAAAGACCGCCGGCTCAAAGGCACCGCACACTGGAAGCAAAACAGAGTGCGTTCTATTAATTTTGACACTAAATAAAATAAGAGCATTTAAGGAATTTAGTAGTTCAGACAGATATACCCACCAATCTGTAAGTGCTGTGCAGAAGGCTTGGCGAAGTAAGCTGAAGTGCTGTACAGAGATGATTAAAAGAGCTTTCAGGTGGTTGGTAAACAACATTAACACCAGTTACATGCACGAGAGTTTAGTACATCATGTTGCATTCAAGGGGTCATGTCAGGTTAGCAAATACTAAAATAAATATTACGACGCAATATATACTATTGATAGTTTTACCAATCGTAGCATTGTGTTTGTGTTACGCAGTACGACTGGTTTTGTCTCACTTTTCCAGTAAAGAATAGTTTTTCATTCAGAGCACAGTCTCATCCGCATCTATTCAAGCTAATACAGAGGTAACGTGACCTTGCTCCTAGAAGGAAGCATCATCTATTTCACTTATGAGTTTATAAGGACATAAAAGGAACACTTCTCGTGATACATTACAACATGATTAAATGGAAAACTGTCAGAAATACACATAATATTTTATAGATAATAAGATATTATAATTTTACCAGAGAAACATGCACGCAGTCCCACCAACGCCGCCATCTTGGTTGATTAGAAAAGCTAAAGACGACCAAAGAAACAAGATAGTTCTGTTTCAACTGTCCGAGCAAAATGCTGTTGTTTTATGCAATGTTTAAACAATAGACTGAATAAAATATATACAGTCTATGGAATAAACGTACTGTAATGCCTTAGTAATTACAAATGTGGAACAGTCTTCCTGAACATGTGAGACAGGCCTCGTCTGTGACGCTGTTTAAATCAAGACTCAAAACATTTCTGTTTAACTGTGCATATAACTGAAAGGTTTTTATTCCGCACTCTTCTCTACAATTTATGTCTCTCTTTTTTTTTTTTTTTTTAATCTTCATGATTATTTATGTTTTGATTTGTTTTTATTATGATTTTAATGTATTTCTTATTCTGTAAAGCACTTTGAATTACTTTGTGTACGAATTGTGCTGTACAAATGAACTTGCCTTGCCTTGCCTATCTCATGACATAATTATGGCAAATACACGAAAATGTTAAATATGACTTATTCAAAACGTACATCCGTTATTATAAGAAATAATTTGTTTAAAACAAGTATGCAAACAATGGTATTGTAGAACAATGCATGTGAGTTTTCTATAATTGTGCTTTATGTATTTTTTTCATTTTATATTTGGATAAACTCAGGATCTTTTTTAAACTTGCAATTTACCATCTTGTTTTTACTGGCACTCTTTGGAGTCCAGAGCGAGTTGTCATTTCCTTTACCGTATGTGCGGGTAACATCTCGCCTAGATAATTTACTGAATAATGACTAGTTTCCTGCACTCAACAAACAAAACATTCATTCAATTTAATGTATTCTTTTGAGAATATCTAACTCATAATCATCAATAAAAAGGTACATAGTGTCTAATTTTGAGAGGTTGTTATGGTATTATTCTGTGCTTTACGGTAAAGTATGGCAGCTTCCATAGCAGCTACTCATGCGCTTTTCTAGACTGTTCCAGCGCATTCAAGTGTGCTCTTTACGGGGCGGGTTATACTCTTATAAAGCCAAATTAGACCCAGTGACAACTTAAGACTTCTACAGATTTCTACACTACCATCTTAAGGTAAGTTTACGGTTTTGATATTTGGTGTTAGATTGCTATTTATTGCTACACGGACACTTTTGGGCACTCTATGTTTTGAAATTATCTATGCTTATCTGATAGTTCCCTATGTTTATATGCTCTTTTTGTTGTTATAGACATGGCTGGCGAAAGACAAGGCAGGAGATATCCACAAAACCTTCAGGGAGTGCTCCAACTTGCCGTGGAAGCTGGTTCTGCGGCGGAGGGACAAGAGCCGACCGCCCTGGAGCCCATGTCTGAGGAGGTAAGTTGTAATAACTGGTTTATCACACACAAACACGGAGCTGTGAAGTGATCAAAACCGTATTATTGTGTTTCAGAGGAAGGCATGGCTGAGGGAAGCGCTGTCTGACATCTGCAAAGGCCAAATGGACGAGGTGGAGCAGATGAAACGATGCTTGGAACATTTACGCGCCGAAGAGCCAAACGACCAGGAGAGGGAGGATGAGGAGGAGGAAGATGACCGAGAAACAGCCTTTGAAACGCTGACAGAGCTGTGTGATAATCTTGACAACGCTAGAGGTAGGTTCTTGGCAGTGTTGGGGAGTAACAGATTACATGTACCGGAGTTATGTAATCAGAGTACAAATTATGAGTAACTGTATTCAGTTACAGTTACTGTTTGAATGAGTGCTAATTGGATTACAGTTACTTTGTTGAAATAAATGGATTACACGGCGGTATTTTCCTGTTTTCACATTTTGGGCGATATCCCTTTTTTTAACCAGTAATTTCACTCATTGCCGGACACTAAACCAGGTCTAAAACCAGGTCTAAAACCAGGTCTAAAACCAGGACTAAAACCAGGTCTAAAACAGGATTTAACAGGACTAAATCATGCTGCATGGACCGTGTTTCCTCCTCCTCTTCTATCAATAATATTTTTAATTTGGTTAAGTAAAGTCTGGGCTTTTTATTGTCTTTTAGCAGACAAAACATCTTATGTGAACATTTTCTCGTCTTTGCTTCTCTACAGCAAAACAAGTAATCCAAAGTATTCAGGTTACATTACTCACCTTAAGTAATTTAATGGATTCTGTTACAAACTACATTTTGGGATAGGTAATCTGTAATCTGTAGGGGAATACCTTTTAAAAGTAACCTTCCCAACACTGGTTCTTGGTAGCCTACTAAAAATGTTGCTGATAGGAGTGTGCAAAAATATCAAAATATCTATATATCGTATCATTTAATGTGATCAGTATTGATATCGTGGCCTGCTGTATTGATACATCGCCAAGAGTATTTTTTGGTATATTTTACAAAATTATTTTGTTACAGCACTACAGTTTTGTTGCTCATTTCGAGGAAGGAAGCTCGTTTATGCAACACATTTCACATTTTCACTGTTTTTGATGATTAAAATGTTTGTGTTTCATATTAACTTTGCACAAGAAATGGTTGAACAAAGACTTTTAGTATCACATCCATGATTTAGCCTTTATTTTTTATTGAACCGACAGTTGGTGGAGTGAACCCCACCACAACTGATAATGTACTGTTTACTGCGGTCGTGTTGAGTGCGTTGAGTGCTTAACGGGTTGTTTTCAGATTCTAGAATGATGTGTCTCTTTTTGAATGGAGGCAAGAGCCAGCGTGTTTTTTCCCAACCTCTGTTATTACACTATAATTATCCAGTTAGACTCTTTCCTTTTATTAGTTTTTGATATTCAGTTAACTGGGTATTTTTTAAGACGTGATGACGGTATCCCAAATTATTTATTGTTTATTTAATAGGGAGAGATAACAACAAAGTTAGATTAACATTAGGGCTGGGTATCAGTAAGAAGTTGACGATACGATACATACCTAAATACATAGACCACGATATGATACAGATCTCGATACAGTGCACTTTCGATTTGATACGATATATTTCAAATCGATTCGATACAGTTCAATAAAAAATAAGGACTAAATCATGGGTGTGATACTAAAAGTCTTTGTTCAGCCACTTCTTGTGCAAAGTTAATATGAAATACACCTATTTTAATCCTCAGAACAGAGAAAATGTGAAATGTGTTGCATAAACTTCCTCTGAACAAGCAACAAAAATATAGCACTGTAACAAAATAATTTAGTAAAACATACCAAAAAAATACTCTTGGCGATATATCGATACAATAGCCCACAACATCGATACTGTCCCATCACAATAAACAGTACAATATACTGACATTTTGATGTTTTTGCACACCACTGCCAGCCAACTGATCAGATTTCACTAAAAGCCATATTATCGGTAAATGTCATTTTGCGTTTTTGCCTCTTAAATAATTTCTGAAGCTCAAAACTTAAACTTAAGCCATACATGGAGTTCATAATTAAATCTGACAGTTCACCATTTGTTGTGAAGCTTACTGACTGTCTTTCCTTTTACCACAGACTTGATGACCTTGGGCGGGCTAGAATTGTGCGTCTCCCGGTACCTGAGCCACGAGCAGAGCGGACTGAGGTGGAGAGCAGCTGAACTGGTGGCGTCCTGCTCACAGAACATGCCCCAGGTGCAGCTCTACCTCCTGGACATCGGGACACTGCCCAGACTGTTGCAGATGACCGACTGTGACTCCAACCCCACTGTTCGCGTCAAAGCCCTCTACGCCGTCTCATGTGAGTAGATGTGAACTGGAAACTTGAGAAATGTAAAAGAGATCTATGAATCCTGTTAGGTTTGTCACCATGATACCAAAATTTTGAACTCAATTTTGATAGTAAGATAAAAGCTCAACAATAACAATGGTCATTTGGACGCTACAATGAAAATAAATACCGTACATGCTTTTTTATAAACAGAAGATACTGATGTACTCTTCCTATACAAAGAAATTCTGGCTTTATTACCAATTCAAAAGTAAAATTATAATTTTGTATTTTCCAACATGTAATTTATTTCATTTTACCATCTGGTAGAAGTTCAAAGGAGTATTTTTTTTACTAACTCTCAACTACAACTATCAAATATTTAACGAGATAATTGCTTAATTCTTGGTCTGCAGTCGTTAATAAAATTCTTTAGTTAAATTTATGCGGACAGAGGAATCGTTAAACTGGTATTTTTTTTAATTTATGAGAACAGGCAATAATTACAAAAATATTAACCAAACATTTGCATTTGAAATCTTTAATACAATCATTGTATTCTTACTTGTCCTTCATATAAATATCGGATGTTACTTTGCCCCTGGCTTAGTCCTGATGTAGACTTGGCTCGGTCCTGTTCTAGTATTTGTTCTAGTCATGGTCTAGTCCAGTGTTAGTCCCAAGTGTGGATGCATTAAATTATGATCTACTCTTGAAAGCTCACACCACAACAACTTGCATCCATGTTTCTTTCTATTCTTTACTGACATTTACCATTTTGAAACTTATGTAGGTTTAGTTCGAGAGCAGGAAGCAGGACTGAAGGCGTTTTTGTCCCTGGACGGCTTCTCGGTGCTGATGAGGGGCATGCAGTCGGAAAATGAGAAACTTCGCATCAAATCTGCATTCCTCCTACTTAACCTGCTCACGTCGCACCCAGAGCACAGAGGTACAAGAATTATACCACTTTCTCTCTTTAAAGGTGCATTACATAACTTTTCTTCACTTGCTTGTTCCCATAGAGATGTGATTGTTGGAGTAGCGATGAAACAGTATTTGGATTTGGTATCATAAAGTCTAATTGTGCATTTTTTTTCCTCTATAGCGACAGTCGTCTCTATGGGAATGGTTCAACAGCTGGTGTCTGTTTTGCGAACACCACATTCACCTTTCCATGAACATGTGCTTGGTGCTCTTTGTTGGTAAGTCGTTCATTAAGACAAGTAGATAGCAGTAGTAGATACTGTGTCCAAATAATTTACCTTGTAGATCGATAAAGTTTGTCTAAGTCTAACTAATCTATGTCATTAACTATTTGAACATATGGTTAATCTAATGCATTGTTATTTCTTGTGTGTCCAGTCTGGTAGAGGACTGTCCACAGGGGCTCAGAGACTGCCGGGACCCTGCTCTAGGTCTGGACGAGTTACTGAAGCAGAGATCCACAGAGCTGCAGGGGAAAGAGGAGTGGGAGGTAATGCAAACTTCTATTGAAAGATATTTACTTTTCAACCCAGGTTCTCATCATCATTAGTATACCGAGCTGTTTTTTGATTCATCAATGTTTGCGTAATCCTGTATTGTCCTACATTTGATTGATTGATTCATTTTTATTTCGAGTTTGTGCCAAGATGGAAACAATAATTATATACATACTACATATATAGTACATTATAAACAACAGAAAAGCAAATTTCTCAAAAAGGAGTGGGAAGAAGAAAGAAACTTAAAAAAATAAAAAAAATGATGTGGTTGCCTTTGTACATTGATGACGAAACTTTACAAATATTTACATATAGCAAAATAAATTACATACTATTCATACTTAATATAATTTTAACCCAATTTTATTCTCTTTTGGTCATACAAACTAATAATAATGATAAAAAAGGCACTGACGTTTATCATTTATGATCATACAAAATAAACCACGATGAGAATTTAAAAAATTTAAGGATTTTTTTGTTTTCGTTTATAGTCGTACACACTAATAATAATGACAAAGAAGGCACAAAATTGTTAAAGAAAAGCATGTGTTAATTTAATTTGAGGCTTGAGTACTAAGGAAAATTCAGTTTTCACCAAGCCCCTGTCTCCGTCTACAGCACTGTACTTTCTTTCTATTGATTATATGAACCAGTAATATAGAAATGCACAAAAATGTCAGCTAGCCATTTTTTAATAGATGGTGGGGCAACTATGGTGGGGCAGATTTGAACAGGTCAATAAGTCAATGAGCCTGTTTGTTGCTATGATGATTTTAGATCAATATTACATACAAAATAAGTAAAATAATCTTGCAGTGTGTAGTATGTTTATTACCAAACATGTTTACTTTAACACACCAAAGTTAGTGATAGAAAATCTAAAATTGTGTGTATTGTTTTGACAGGAGGAGCTGGACTTCTGTGAGCGTTTGCGGACCTTGTGTTTTATTGGACAACAGTCTGAAGACAACGGGATGGACCGCTAACCACAAACTAAACATACAGTACATTCATTCAAACTTGTAAATACCTCAGGTGTAAAAACAATACTTTTTCAAATGTTTTTCACATATTTTTAAGTGGAGACATTCAATTTATTTGGTTATTTTTAGTAAACTTTTTGTTGTGCTTACATTTTTTCTGACCATTTGATGAAATATTGCAGCATTTTTCATGTTGTACATATTTATTTATTGAAAATTATATTATGTCAGTTTAAAAAGAAGTAGATATGTAATTACAAAGACAGAATCCTCTTCAGTGTTTTCAAAGATTAAAATGTTTTGACAAATCTTGAATGAAAAAAGAGTGTTTTTTTTATTGATTATCTTACAGACATCTCTGTATATTTTACAAACACGTACATGGTATTAAAAAAAATATATTTAAGCTATTTCTAGGCTCTCTTCCATTTTGAAAAGTCATCCGTGCTTTCCACCGCCTTCACATCTCCTACAGCGATCAGCAGCTGAGCTAAATAATACGTCACCATCACGATAATGTTCCCATGTTCTATCGGAGCCACCTTAAAAACCTGCACGGCCAGAGTCAGGTCGGACACCATGAAGACAAGACTACCCAGCACTGTGATAAACCTGCGTGTCCGGATGGCCATGCACCCCATCAGAGTGATCATCAGGATGTAGACGCCCACTCCCGGTACGAGCAGGTCTGGGTTGGGGGCCTTCTGGAGGTACGGGTACAGGTGGATGTACACGGCTCCTCCAATCAGGAACAAGATGGGGTAAAAGAGGCGGGGCCATTTGGAGGAAGATTCAGAGCTGTAGCGCGAGGAGAGGAAGGTGAGGGAGTAGAAGAGGTGGGCCACAGCGAAGGCAGCCATACCTGACACAAAGAGAATTACACCCATTAAGACAACAGGGTTCCCACGGTCATGGAAAAGTCATGAAATTTTGTAAATTCAATGAGAGTTTTGGAAAAGTCATGGAATTTTAGTATCTTTGTCATGTAACTACAGCGTCATGTTAAATTATCATTAGACTATTATGATTATTTCTGAACGTCTGCACCTTTTGTTTAAAAGAGACGACAATAAATGCACCGACAGCATTTTGAATGTTAAAAACTATAATACCAAACCATAAGGTGAATGGAAAGGGTTAACATTTCATATTTAGCCCTAAAAGTATCATCAATTCTACACATTTGGGTGCCATCATGGAAAATTCACTTTAAGTCATGAAAAAGTTTAGAAATTTTGTCAGTAAAAAAGTGGGCACCCTGAGACAAATTAAGAACACACATAATCTGAAAGTACTGATCTGTTTGAGGTAACTCGGCTACATTCTCTGGTGATCCTAACTCAAGCCTTAAAAGTAACTGGAATAAGGTCTGGTACAAGAATCAGATAAAACAAATTCAAAACTATTTGAAATGTCCCAAATGAAAAGATCAGATATTTCAACATAACAAATTATAGTCGGAGATTTATGATCTTAAAGCTGCACTATTTTATTTATTTATTTTTTTTGAGCTAAATGTTCCACAGTATGGCATAAGACTTCTCCATTCCTATGAAGACCTCTCCATTCCTATGAAACCTTTAGCAATAAAAATCATGCCCACACCTTGTCAAAGCCTAATCTTATGAGAAGCTGGTGGCTGGAGGGGGAGAGTACAGATTGACAGCCCTGCTTTTGTCAGTCAATCAATGCAGAGTGAATGAATAATGCAAAACAAAACTCTGCCACTTCGATCATCTGAAAACACTTTATATAAGACTAGTGCATTGTTATTATCATGATTAAAAACAAATAAATGCAAGATAGACAAATTTAATGTCATAGTGTGGAACATTCCAATCAATGCCATAATATCTCCATGAACATGAGACCTACAGACCTGCACACTGTACAGCTCTGGGCCACATACAGTCCTTCAGTTGACTCTGACTGGCCTGTTTAAGCTAATTTGGAATTACAAAATAAAGATATTTTATAATTTTATCTCATGTGTGGACTAAAGCTGCATTGCTTTTATTTTAGAGGTGGTTTTTTTAAATGACATTTTTTGTAAGGCGATCTTACTTTTTCATTGTTAAGTCATAACATAAACCCTTAACAGTCTTACCAGCTCATCAAAACAATATTTGCTGCTTTTTTAAAATAAAGAAATACAATTAATATTGCGCAGAATTGAGTTAAGCATTTTGGCTCGATCCTCCACAAATTTTTCTGTTTTTCATGTGGCCCCATGGAAAAAAAAAAAAGCCCACCCCTGGACTAACAAGCGGCAGACCCACCTGAAAAGTTACAAAGCACTTTGAAACCACATCCCCATTGCAGCAGAATCATTCTCCTCCTCAGACTCTCCATCTTCTTTCCTTTTTTCTTTCTACGTATTCATGGGTTTTATCCTTCTTTTTTAGATTGAAATTCTTAATGGCTATGGCAATGGCTCTCATTGTTTATTCTTCTGAAACCCATGGCAACAATTTCTCCATAACAAATCCATCGTTCCCACCTCCACTACCTGCAGGGATTATCCAAACTTTATTTTATTAATTAGTGTTAGTGTTAATTAATGTTACATGATTGTTTCAAGTTATAGCTTTGTCTTGAATGTTCCACAGTATAGTATTAGTATAGAGCACAGGTGTCAAACATAAGACCCGGGGGCCAGATCCGGCCCTCCAAGACCTTTAATCTGGCCCTCGGCTGATTTTCTACTAAAATATTTTAATTATATTTTCTATTAAAATATTGGTAATTTTCTGTGCCGCTGAGCATAGCAGCGTCTCCAGCGTCTCTGTACGTGGCCTCTCCCAACAGAGCAGCACAAATGAAGACTTGTCTCTGTCCAAATGCTCTTAAAGGACAATCGTTTTGACTGTTGACCATGACACACTCATCAGCAAAATGTCAAAAATGAGAAAAGTGGACACCGAGTGCAGGATTTTCCAAGAAAAATTGACTTATTCCTTTTTGCATCCAAGTTCATGTTAAAACATTGTGTTGAAATTACATTTTTCTTAAAGTTTCAGGTTGTTCATAATATTATAATATTTTGTAAAAGAAAGACTTCATCAATTAAAAAAGATTTCTGTAATAGATTTGCGTTTCTCTGCACAAATATTTGAACTTATTGCTGTTTTTGGAGTATATATGCCATGAGTTTTCTGATCCGGCCCCTTTGGGATCAAAGTAGGTTGGATACGGCCCCAGGACCAAAATGAGTTTGACACCCCTGGTATAGAGTGTAGTATAAAATGTCTCCATGGAGATAGGCAAGTGACACCATCAGACCAAGTTACACTCTGTGGAAAGGTGACCCCACTCACAGTAAGTATGTTTTTTCCCAATAAAACGCTTGTTGTAACTGAATAAAAACAAGTAGATGTCACGTAACAAAAAAAGTTACGCAGTGCAACTTTAACCTCTACTGTCAAATGAATCTTCTCACCATGTAGGAACATCTGATCGGGCCAGATGAGGCAGAAGTCCCCCACAGCGGAGAAGACCAGTCCCCCGGCCACACCCAGAACGCTGTGGAGCCCGTTCCAGCTCAGGACCACCGCAGCCAATAGGAGCGCAGGAGCCGTTTTGGCCCCCGCTGAGACGCTAGACCCGACCGACTCCGGGGTCCACAGGTAGAAGTACACAGCAGTGGCCAGGAAAAACGGGACGAGGTACAAGAACAATACACAAGACTGAAAAAAAAAAAAGACAATTATTACAAAAAATGCCAAAAAAATTACAACAAATTCACAAAAAATTACAAAAAAATTCACTTTGTCATACCATGTTTCTCCTCTGCCTGCGGTCGTAAGCGTCAGTCTCCAGGATATCCATCTTTTTAATAGAACTAGAATAATTTCAATAAAACTATCTATTTAGTTTCTTTTATTTGCTTATGAAATGTAATAATTTGCTCTGTTGGCAAGCCTCGTCACTCATCAGAAATGCTTGCCTGCAGTGTCAGACATGCTCAGTGCACTTTGGACCACTCATTCTGATAATACTGATCAACGTTCTGCCGCTTTGGAGATTTCAGCTGTTTGTTCCTCACCTTTGACCCCGGCCTGGTTTGAATTAAGTAGGTGATATCAAAAAATATAAGGGAAAGGTAGTTTGAGGTGATGTAATTGCTCAAAATCAAACTGTTAATGTAAATAATATCAGCTTTTTTCTCATTTCTTTTGTTTTGATTTTGGTTTAAATGATGGTTGTCAAGGTTACCAAGGTTACCTACTTGACTCTGTAGAGATTGCTGTGCCTGGAATGTTCCACAGTATGGCATTAAACATATTTACCTTGTATTTTTTATTTAATTCAATGCGTTTTTTTTTTTTTTTTTAATTGCTCTTTGATATTTCTGTATGAAACATTCCAGGTAAAGCAAGTTATGGTTGTCAAGGTCACCAATCAACACCATTAAAAAAATAAAAATAAAATATAAATAAATAAATAGACAAACAAATAAATAAATAAATAAAATATTGCTGTTCTTTTTAATGCTACATTAGAAAACTAGAAATGTTCCTTGCCTTATAAACACTAAGCCCATCTATGTTGCATTTATCCAGTTATTTTTGCATTAAGCCTTAATCAGAAAAGCTGCATAGTTTCCTAAATAAATTCAAAAATACATTTTTCACAACAAATTTGTCCAGATAAAGTCATATTTTACCAAATTAGACCTACCCTATATTGCAATAATGTTATGACAAGTAGTATGTAGTGTTTTAATTCCTATTCCAAGCTGTTAAACAAATTACACGATTAGAAAATAGTGCACAAATGAAAATAACTGTAATTTACTGAGTGACACTGAAGTATCCTTAACAATGATTGACTTGGATTACTCTGAGCCAAACTTTGAACTGTACACAGCTTCCGTTTGTGTAGGGGGGACACGCCAGGGTTGTCCAATAACATGGTAAGTTATCAGTACCATCAAAAAAACAATTAAAATTTTATTGTAATGATACGACAAATTATTTTTGTATTCAGAATACGCCCAGCAGCACTCCTCTACTGCGGATTGGAGTGGTGGGATATGGACACCTAGGTATGTAAGTAAGCAGACATACAGTATTTGCCAAACTAGTACACAGAGTTAGGTATTCATACTTACATTTATGCGAGTGAATTGTACTTTTACTTATTTACTTACTATTATTTTGAAGTAATATGCATGTTGTATTTGTTGATCCGTCCCATTGCGAGTAGGACTGGGTATCATTAAGAAGCTGCCGATACGACACACACCTCGATAAATAGGCCACGATACAATACATATCTTGATACAGTGCACTTTTGGTTCGATACAATATATTTCAAATTAATTTGATATGGTTCAATAAAAAATAATGACTACGATACTAAAAGTCTTTGTTAAATCACTTCTTATGCAAAGTTCATATGAAACACTAATTTTAAACAGTTTTAAAGAGTGAAAATGTCAAATGTGTCGCAAAACATGTTTCCTTCCACTAAAAAAGCAACAAAACTGTAGCGCTGTAACAAAAAAAATTTATAAAATATGCTAAAAAATACTCTTGGTCATATATTGATACTGTATCATCACATTAAACGATGCGATATTTCAATATTTCGATTGGGGCACCCTCGATCTCTCTGCAGTTTCCTTGTTAGTGAGGAAAGAATGATCAAGTCTGAGGTGCAAGGATGACAGGAAGAGAGGAGAGAGAGGAGAGAGAAAGAAAGAAAGAGAGAGAAAGAGGTAAAGAGGGGGAGAGAGAGTGAGAAAAGGGCAAAGAGAAAGAAGAGAAAAAGATAGAGGCAGAGAAAGAGAGGGGAGGGTGAGAGAGAAAAAGAGAGGGGAGAGAGGGAATGAGAGGGGAAAGAGAGAAAAAGATCAGAAAGAGAAAGAGGGAGAGAGAAAGGGAAAAGAGAAAGAGAGATGAGAGAAGAGAGAAAGAGACAGAGAGAGGAGAGAAAGAGAAGAGAGAGAGACAGTAAGAAAGAACGAAAGAGAGAAAGAGAGGAGAGGGTATTTTGAAAGTAGTTTTTGTTGTATTTTGGTATATTTTGTCACAGCGCTACAGTTTTGTCGCTTGTTTAGAGGAAGTAAACATTTTCACTGTCCTGATAATTAAAATGTGCGTGTTTCATATTCATTTTGCACAAGACTTTTAGTATCAAAGCCATGATTTAGCCTTTATTTTTTATTGAACCGTATCAAATCATTTAGAAATATATCTTATCGAACCGAAAGTGCACTGTATCGAGATATGTATCGTATCGGGAGCTTCTTAATGGCACCCAGCCGTAGATATTGCGACATTTTTGTAAACGTATGATAAACAAAAAAACTGTGTTAATAATATTGTGACCGGTGCACTGCTTGCATCTGCTTATCGCCATGGAGATATTACCTCTTTGCCTTGAATGTTCCATAGTACATCAACCAATCCATCTTGCATTTATTAAATTTCATGAATGTTAATTCAAAAAATATCCACAGATCTGACCTGTAATAGCTGTTTCCATGGAGATAGTGGAGTTTAATGACATACTGAGATACATTATAGGTAAAGCAACAACATCTCCAGGGAAACAAGCGAGTGACAGTCCCTTCACAAGGAAAATTTCACAGTGCACCTTTAACAAAATTAATAAAGTACTTTTGAATTTTTCATTTGGATTATTTAGGCTATGGTGCAGCTGTTTCAAGTTGGAAATATAAGAATTTTACTGCCTGAGTTTGTCAGTTTAAAAAATATGTCACGTTACCTAAATGAGCAACATTTTTATCAACCCTTTTTACTTTTAGCTTTATTTTTCACGTTACCAAATACTTTATATTATTTGATCTTACTAGAGTACAAGTTTTTTGGATATAATAAATAAATATAATAAAGCAGATATAATAAAGCACCTCTGCTTGTTTTGTGACTAAACATTTGGTGACACAGGGCAGTTCTTGGTGGAGAAGATCCTGTCTGAGGGGCCAGGGGTTGGATTGGAGCTGGCTTTTGTTTGGAACAGAAATCCAGACAAACTCAAAGGCACGGTGGCAGAGGAGTTTATACTACAGGACCTGTCATCCTTTGCTGAGAGGTACAAATATAATGTAGCAAGTCAAGGTTTACATCCTTTTTTGACTCGAGTACCATCTAAATTTGCCTAAAATTTATTTGACATTTTCTAGTATTTGTGATATTAGAATCCAAATCGTTCGATAAAAACATTCTCAAAGGTTCTATATTATGCAAAATTGACTCTTATGAGGTTTAAACTGTTACAATGTTGTCAAAAACACACCTGGAGTTGTGTTTTGTTTCACAAATGTTTCGAGTAACCCTTATTGTTAGTCGGTCTACATCTCCAAAGCTTAAAATGTGCTGTTCCACCTTGTGATGTCATGTAGTTGCAGAGGTGAGACCAAGTCGTTGTTTTGCAAGTCTCAAGTAAGTCTCAAGTCTCTGACCTCAAGTCCGAGTCAAATCCCAAGTCAAAGACAGGCAAGTCCAAGTCGAGTCTCGAGTTCAAATCCCATAAGTCCAAGTCAAATCCAAGTCGTCTGCTTTGAGCTTCAAGTCATTTCAAGTCTTCAAACCAAAATACGAAATGTAGCTTAGATTTTTAGATTTTAGATTTGGTGGAAGGTGGAACAGTGTTTTCCACAGCCACAGCCTAAATATGGAGATTTTGTGTGTTAAACATGTGTGAATGAAACAAAACACCAACACCAGCTCTGTTTTTGATGAGCAGACATCATTATAACAGATCAGAAAATAGCATAATAAAGGCAGTATACAACACAAATTATTATTATTATTTTTAACCATAAAGTTTTGCTGTACTGGGAGACTTAACTTTTGGAGACAGTTGGTCCAGACTTGCCTCAAGGTTGCAAATTCAATCCCTTTTACTGATCTTGCAATGCTGCAGTGTCCTCGGGCAAGACATTTCTCCGTACTTGCCTTTAGACAGAGTCAGTAGATCAGAGGTCTCCTACCTGTAGCTCGGGAGCTACCAGTAGCCCTCCACCCCCCTTCCTCTCTCCAAGGGATTTCTGAATTACATGCATTGTGCTGAATAAGTAAAATTTGATCAAGGAAGTGCCTTTTACCATTGTATGTGTATAATTTTGATGCATAACTTTGAACATGAATAAATGGAAAATGGTTTATGTTTTATAGGCATCTAACGGTACCTCATCTTAGGCTAAGGCAATTTCTTGTGACTGCTAAAACTAGTAGCTCTCTGGCTTTTTTGTTTTGTTAAAGTAGCGGAAGAAAAAAGTTGGAGACCCCTGTAGTAGATGGTGTGACCTGTGGTGGATGGAGAGGCCGAGACCACATTTCTGTCAGTGTAACGATAAAATCCAGCGCATGATTTGTATTTTTGTTACAGGCGGTGCGATGTAATAGTGGAAGTTTGCCATCCTCACATTGTCAAGGAGTTTGGAGTACGCTTTTTGTCCAGGTCTCATTTTATGGTCAGCGTTCATTTTTTATGTGATGTGATTTATATTTAGATGAAAATGTAGCTGTAATCATGTTCATCTCCAGGTGGGCTCTCCCTCTGCTCTCTCAGACTCGGCGTTGAACCAGGACCTCCGGCAGGCAGCTCGGCAGTACAGCAGGACTCTGTATGTGCCCAGTGGTGCTCTGTGGGGGGGCCAGGACATCCAGAGACTCAGCGACAGTGGGGCCCTGAAGGTAACACAACAAAAAGAGTCAGTGATAAGTAATTGAACTATAGGAAGTCAAATATTCTAAATAGAGAATAAAACGATCTTTATAAAAAACACAGACTGTATAAAGAAGTGGACTAAGGGAGTGTGACATCGCCCATAGTGTTCTGCTCCAGTCAAATGAAGCTCAATGAGGCCGGAAGTTATAGTTTTCGGACAAAATAACTAAATAAAAACACCAAGATCATGTAGAGTGAGTTAATATGAAAATTTAAGACCAAAATTACTGGCCTGACAGCAGCAGTTACAGAGAAAAGGAGTGACATTTTTTCAATACAAAGCGAATTGGAGCCGTAAGTGTGCCCATGCTCACTTCCTGTTTGGAACGTGGGGGCAAGCAGGTTAGCTCTGTCCATTTATATTTACAGTCTATGATTAAAATGTGTTATATTAACTTACAACAAAAAATAACATCACATTGTTAATATAAAATTCATTCATTCAATTCATTGTCAACAACCAACAAAAACAGATAATCAAAAATGTCATATGGTGAAGCAGATGCCCACTTACCTAAAGGTTGATGGTTCACTCCCCACTCCCACCTGTGCATACCGTTGTTGAGGCTTTGGGCACAACACAATCACCTCCAATTGCCTCCAGTGTCTGTGTTTTTATTTTGAACTATACTGCCCCACAAAGGCAGAACACCGCAACATCATGTTTGGTCAAAAATAAGTTAATGTAATTTTGTTTGTATTTGAGAGCTACTTTATAATGTGAATAAATATCGTAAAAAATGTTGAGCTCAAAATCTACCGTTGATCCTTATTTGGCAGTTCCTGTACTCTGTCTTTGTGTCATAAGCTAAAAATAAGGAGTAGTGAAAAGGCAATAACAGTGTATGTTTTGTTTGTGGTTTAGGTCATAAATATATTAGAATTATAATTTATTTTCCAATCCAACCTCTCACCTCAGTCTTTTTGTTGTGGCCTTGGCACAGGGTCTGTACACATTGAATAAATACATCTATAAATTATACTTAAATTATCTCTAATGTGAAACGATTTTGTGTATTTATTCATACTGTACATACTATACTGCATAAGTATAAGTCACTTGTTTGTCAAACTGTTTAACTGTGTAAGTGTCACCGCACAATCCTGATCAGCATTAAACAGGAAATCCAAAGCTCTTCTATATCATTTCAAACAAACACCATGATGACTCGACTTTGGTGAGGCGTTCTTATAATGGATGTAAGTATGATGAAAATCAAGCAAACAATGATAATGTTCGTTAATGTCTTTCGCCTTGGCATGACTCCTTATTTCTTCACTATAGCAACTAGTTGTCAGATTCTGGGAGCCCTACTTATTATACTTTTTTCTGGACAAAACAGAAATTTTAGGTCATTTTTCTCAGTTTCACACTCTGGTGAGTTCAGGTCTTTTGCCTTTGTAGGGCAGTATAGATGACCATCATTTTAAACCTTTTGGAGGATGGCATAAATGTGAATTTGTTTAATTTTTGGAGTACTATATTGTTGTTTATTTTATTAAAACCCAGTATGATGAAATACTTGTTCTTGTCATTTATAGGCCTTGTTCATCCGAATGTCCAAGCACCCGTCCTGTTTCCGGCTGACCAAAGATGTGCTCACTGATTGGTCGGAGGGCGAGGGGAGGCGGGTCCTGTTCAGAGGCTCAGTGGCAGAGTTATGTCCTGTTGCCCCGAACAACGTGAACACAATGGCAGCTGCAGCGGTGGCAGCAGGAGCTCTGGGCTTCAGCGGAGTACAGGGCGAAATCGTGTCAGATACACAGTGAGTTTTACTGTCAGGTCAAGTTTTGGTCAAGTAACACCTTATTTACTACATACTATTAATTACTTTTTTTTTTTGAATTGGTCAACCCATTATTTTTGTTTCTATATACTGTTTACAGAATAGAACTTTATTTTTATTTGTCAATTTCAAGATAAATAACCAATCAAATTTCTGTACTCATGACTTAGAGAACACTGATAATATCTTACTAACACTAAGATGCAATACATTTTAAAATCAAAATTGCTCAGTAAAAAGGTGCTTATAATTGCTTCTAAGGGAATATAAATAAAAGCAATGTTTTTTCCCATAAGGTTGAGTGACTATCACGTGGTGGAGGTAGAAGTCACGGGGCCTGATGGCTTCTCCGTGCACACAGTGAGAAGGAATCCTGCCAAACTGGGAGCTGTGACTGGGAGTGCTACATACAAGTCTTTTTGGAACAGTTTACTCGGTACCAACCAAATATTCATGTACACTTACAGTCAAAAGTTTTGGCACACTTTTCATTATTGTTTTTTCTTAATTTTCATGACTATTTAGATTGTAGATTCTCAATGAAAGCAAAACTATGTATGAATGTATGTATTAAGTTTTTAGTTATTTAGGTTATTTTATTTTATTTTTTAAATTGTTTTAGATCAGACATGTCAGACTCAGGTCCGGGGTCCAAATTTGGCCCGCAAGATCATATCAAATATGTATTAGAGCTGCCCGCCGGCTACAGATAAGCTATAGAGACATTATTTAAATTTTTTTTATTATTTTACATTATGCTTGTTCTGGATTCACTATATTATTATGATTATTATATATATTATATTATTATTTATTTTAATAAGAAAAGGTTTAACATTACAAAACTCAAAAGAAGAGAAAACATACAGATTTTGTTGAAATTTTTCAATATTTCAATATTTAGTTTGGCCTATGACTCCGAGTTTTTAATTTTGGCCCTTTGTGAATTTCAGTTTTAGATATTTAAAAAAAAAAAAGTCACACTTTGCTTTGATCACTGCTTTGCACTCTTGGCGTTTTTTGACCCTAGACGAGTTCACTGAGAAGGCCAAGGTTTTGCAGCGCTGTCAACAAAGCAAAGGGTGGCTACTTTAAGAAATTTCTTTTACTACATATCTTGTTTCATATATCAATAAAGTGTGCCTAAGTATAAAAAAATATCAAACATATATATATATATAAAAAAAAAAAAAGAATGAATTGAATGAGAAGGTGTGTCCAAACTTTTGATTTGTAGTGTTCATTATTTTATAGAGACACAAATGTTTTTAACATAACACATCTTTTTTTTTTTATCTCAACAGTTTGCAAAGGTCACGGAGGTCGTGTCTACCTTTGCTGAAGTCAATGCCCCTAAAACAAGAACTGAACTTGCTTATTTACCTGTATTACTGTTACAAATATTTTCAATTTTCAATAAAGCAAAAACAAAAAAATAATTTATCAAACACTATTTATTTGAATTTAATCTGGATCAAGTTGATAACAAATGCTAAAACTTTTCAGGCTGCCCCATCTTGCTTTGTTCCCCCCAAAACTTGCCAGATGTTTTTTGTTGTAGACATTCACTGTTCAGAACGATCTTGAATGTTTAGATCGCGATTGCCTCATTTACAAATAAATAATTTTCCAAAACTGACAAATTCAGGCTAGCTTTTGCATATCCAACTTTCACACAGACGATCAAGTGCGAATTTTTTCAAGTTTTGAAATGTAAGGCGCAAAAACCGTATAGTGTTGCCAAGTTTGTCATACATTAACCAATACATAAGAGACAAGTGCTACAGCAGCATGTACTTTCCACCACGGCAAAAGTAAAAATACATGTAGGAAGTGCTTTTTGGAGTGATTTGAAATATCTAAAATACAGCAAGGACTAACAAGATAAAGCTATGGACTGATTCTAGTAACTTTCACATTAATAGTAACTAGAGTTCTCTGAAACAGCTCCAAACAAGCGCATCCGAAATTACAACAGTGGTGTGTCAGTAGTTCAAAAAGAGAAATGCATACAATGGATATAGCCCGTCTCAAAATACAAATATTTAAAGGTGCACCGCTTAATGCTGGTGGAGAGGTTCATTACTTGTTTATTTCCATGGAGATGTTATTGCTTGGCCTGGAATCTTCTAATTATCTCAAAGCTGGTGGCGTCATTAGATCTATGGAGAGGTGACCCAGCTCACAGTAAGAACGCACATTATTCAAGGCTGCCAGTTAAAACAACTGACATTTAATAAATACAAGATAAATAAGTTTAATGCCATACTGTGGATCATTCCAGGAGAAGCAATAACATTTCTTGGAGACCAGTAAACAGTCGACTCGCCATCAGAAATGTTACATAGTGGACCTTTAAAATGTAAAGACCGCTGCTGTTGAAATATAACATCTAATTCTATATTTTCTCAGTCTACGAATTACACACATTTCTATGTATCAGTTCCACAATATTGTAATTTTAGATGCACTTGTGACTGATTGTTCCCCGTTAAGCCGTCTTGCAGCTCAACATAACCGCTTAAAGACACACTACATATCTTTTCTGGTGGAGGATCTGCCATCTCCGGTGTTATATTATAAGCTCTAGTCACGCTTACGTCATAAACCAGGAAGCTGTTTGGAAAGATGTGGGCTCACCTAAGTTGGATCTATTAAAAGTAAACGTGATCAACGGTAAAAGAAGACTGCATACATATATGCTGTTTGGAATAATCTTGAATTTTTGCACCCTCTTCTCTTCTAATGGCATGTATCCAGTGTGCTCAGAGTTGTGCGTCAGTGGGGAAACGATGAAAAGTGAGGTGTGGTTGTAATTGTTGATTACCTGAACATAACAGAACACTACAATGACCTGTAGATGAAGAAAACTGGGCCTGGGAAATTGTAATCGCATCTTTCCAAACGTCTTCCTGGTTCGTGACGTAAGCGTGAATAGAGCCTATTGTCCCGTAGGGAATGTTCCACTGTATGGCATCTCCATGGAGACAAGCAGGCAATGCCACCAAGTGAAGTTACAAGTCAAATCTGTGGTGAGGCAGCCCCATTCACAGTAAGAATGAAATATGAAATAAAAGCAACATGGACAAGTTTGATGCCATACAGTGGAACGTTTCAAGCAAAGCAATAACATCTAAATGGAGAGGAGTAGGCGATGGGCTGACCCTCTACCAGAAAAGTTACATAGTGCGCCTTTAACAAACCAATGATTGCATCGCTGGTACAGGTAACTGAGAAATCCTATACTTTTTGAGAACGTTTCATTAAGGTTTTTAAGGTTTGCACAGTTTAGGAAGACTAACTACAATGCTTTCTTTGCGACAAGCCCAATACTAGCAATTTTTTTGACTCTTTAGCTGCTAGTTTTCCCCCTTCTCACTTTCCTTGTCACTTTCCTTGTCGCTCCCCTTATCGCTTTCCTTATCGCTTTCCTTATCGCTTTCCTTATCACTTTCCTTATCACTTTCCTTATCGCTCCCTTTGTCACTCCCTTTGTCACTCCCTTTGTCGCTGCCTTTTTCGCTGCCTTTTTCGCTGCCTTTTTCGCTGCTTTTGTTACTACCTTTATGACTGCTTTCACTGCTGATTTCGCTGCTCACTTCGCTGCTCACTTCGCTGCTCCTGTCACTCTTACTGCTCACGTAACTGTCTGCGATGCTGTTGGTGACCGGTGTGGCAGCGGCAGCGGCAGCGACAGGGACTTTGTTTTTGAACGGGTAGTTGTACGGCTGGCGGATGTTCACGCGATCCTTTTCCGCTTCCAGGTCTTCGTCGTAGCGTTCGTCGTCCTCGTTGTCCTCCGCCTCGCTGTGATGGGGGGAAGAGTGGCGGGACAGGGCAGGTGAGGGGGGCACGGAGGCCGGGCGCGGGTACCGGAATCCGGAGGTCTGTGGAGTATACGGAAAGGTTTAAAAAGTTTCTAATAACGATGCAAGAACAGAGTTAGGGTTTAGTCCATTTTCTGTTCATCAAATAAAAAGGGCTGCAAATAATTGACTCAACACAAGACAGGAGCATTATTAAATCAAATGTCTGTGTATTCCCTTATCCAGGTGATCCATGTATGATCCATAACAAAAGAAAGATTCAATTCTATCAACTGGACAACAGATTTTTGAGTGAAAACTTTTCGCTGCTCATCCAGGCAGCTTCATCAATTTAATCTTTCTTTTGCTATTAAAACAAATGGCAAAAAGAATACAGTATACACTTTGTGGTTTTTAATCAATATTACACTTTTTTGTAAATATTCTCCAACAAGAAGCATTCAGTCAGAATAAAAATCTCAATTTCGAATATAAATAATCATTTGACTAGTGGATCTAATAGAAGTGTATACTGCTTTGATTTAGCCAGGCTGGTGCCACCTAGTGACTCCACTCATTTTAATTTCTCTTCAGTGACTAGGTCAGGAATCAGAATACACTAGACCACAGGTGTCAAACATAAGGCCCGGGGGCCAGATCCGGCCCTCCAAGACCTTTAAACTGGCCCTCGGCTGATTTTCTACTAAAATATTTTAATTATATTTTCTATTAAAATATTGGTAATTTTCTGTGCCGCTGAGCATAGCAGCGTCTCCAGCGTCTCTGTACGTGGCCTCTCCCACCAGAGCAGCACAAATGAAGACTTGTCTCTGTCCACACGCTCTTAAAGGATGATCGTTTTGACTGTTGACCATGACACACTCATCAGCAAAATGTCAAAAATGAGAAAAGTGGACGCCGAGTGCAGGATTTTCCAAGAAAAATTGACTTATTCCTTTTTGCATACAAGTTCATGTTAAAACATTGTGTTGAAATTACATTTTTCTTAAAGTTTCAGGTTGTTCATAATATTATAATATTTTGTAAAAGAAAGACTTCACCAATTAAAAAAGATTTCTGTAATAGATTTGCGTTTCTCTGCACAAATATTTGAATTGCTGTTTTTGGAGTATATATGCCATGAGTTTTCTGATCCGGCCCCTTTGGGATCAAAGTAGGTTGGATATGGCCCCAGGACCAAAATGAGTTTGACACCCCTGCACTAGACGTTTTGCAAGAACCCCGGAAGTTGTAGACCGTGCACCAGCCAATCAGTGAAGAGCTGTGAAGCCATGACATCAAACTCAAGCGCCTGTCTGGGTCCCTTTTGTGGTACAGCACAACTGTAAACAAAGCGGTCGAGATGGATGTAGGCAAAGCCAGACATTCTGTGTTGGCAACAAGTCCCGAGATCGATGATTTAAAGTCGGAACAAAGAGAATGTTTGGTGAATTTTATCAAGGGGAAAGACATTATTGCCCTTCTTCCTATGGGATTTGACGCATTACATACGTCATGACCAAATAGCAGTTGGTTAAATAAAAAAAGTACCCACCTATTGTTGAGCGAACAAATCCTAATGCTGCGAGGTCAGACGGTTTCCACGAAGTGAAACCGGCTGATGAATCAGGCTAACTTTGATTTGCCATGACTGAAAATAGTAATAGTGATCTCATATTATGGAATGTCTCACAGTAGAATTGTATAGAACTGTAAACCGTAAGATAGTTTTAAATATCTTTTGAAACAAAATGTTCTCATGGGCTTTATTATTAGAGATTATGTATCTTTCCTACAAACCTCTGAGCCAATAAGCTTTTATGTACTGAAGAGCAGCATGCACATTATGTACAGTGAGACAGGGATATTGTTACATCCCTAGACTAGCTCCTATAAATAAACAGACTCACCGACGTGGGCTCCTGAGTGTCATAAATGAAGGTGTCAGGGAAGGCTTTGGCCAGTGCCATGTGACGAGCTGCGACATAATACTGGAGAGGGAGGGAAAAAAAACAGTGTCAATCAGACACTGAGATTGTAGTAAAGTTGACTTTAAATGCTGCCAATAATCTCCACAGTGATGTTAATATATTGGTTTGCCTGCAATGTTCCACAGTGTGACCTTCAACTTATTTATCTCCATCTGGTCAAGAGTGGTAAAGTCTAGTATTTGTATAAGAGAAGAATCAGATATTAAAAATAGTATGAAAACTAGATTCTAATATAAAATATCAATACTAAAATAATGACATAACTATTGTCTAAAAAAACTTTTTTCTAAATTAGTAAGTATGTAAATGTAAGTAAGTATGAGAATGGAGTTTGAAAAGTTAGTATTGAGACAAGTTTGACCAGTGTGGTCGTGGGCCCCCCTCACCCGCCCCAGGTATCTCCAGTCCAGCAGGTCGCTGAGGCGCTCAGTGCGGTTCCTCTGGATGATCCTCTGGCGTCGGCTCTGTTTACAAAACTGGAAGAGGAAGGACGTGAGCTGGTTACACGACTCGTCCACTCCCCTGAAGCGCCGGTCCAGGATGTAGATACCTGTGCACCACAAACAGAGTTAGCAGCACATTCAAAGAGAAGTCCATTTATGTTTCATGTCGTTCTAATTGAAAATGTTTGTTAGGTTTCCTACAACTTTTCTGGTGGTGGTCCAAGAGTCTGAAACATTATTACCATGTCTGGAATGTTTCACAGTATGGCATTAAACATATACATTGTCAATTACAGGTGTTTTTATTGTAAACTACCCCAAAAAAAAACATGAATTATAACTGAGCAGGGTGTTCTTCCAGCATATCTGACCTGCAACTCAACCTCCATGGAGACAGGCAGGTGATGCCACAAGGTCAAGTTTAATGCCATACTGTGTCACATTTCAGTCAAAGCAATGAGATCCTACCAGAAAAGTTACAATATAAAATGTATAATGTGGACCACGGTAGAATAGAGACAACCTTGCTTCAGCTAAATATGGATCCAATAAATTAATAAAATTTAAATGTTATTATGCCCTTTCAAAGAGGATATAAGACACTTCTCTGGCTTTTTAAACCTCTCATCTTATATAAATAATTAAATCTCTTATATAATGCTTGGGTATGAGAAATTCTTTTATAGCACTTTCAATGAGAGTGCCTGGATATTATCTTTTTAAGATCATTTGAGATTGCAGCAGTCATCACCTTGCTGCAAGAAAACAAATGAACACAACTCGACAGGTGAAGATGTATGGACTTGCCTACTTTCTAGATTCAATTTGTTTACAATTGTTCATACTCCAGATATTATTTTGAGACACAAACTAATAAAATGGCATGTATTCTTAAGTTTAAAATGCCATTGTAGCGCAACATATCACATTTCAAATAGTAGATGATGCAGGTTGAGCGACATACCATAGGCTGAGGGATCTGCTATATGTTCCTCCATGAAACATCCAAACCCAGAGAGGTTTGTGGACACTGAGGGGATTCCCATGACTGTGCACTCAGCTGAAGATGGAAGAATGTGTTAAAATAAACAAGCCAAACTGAAAGCTGACCATTTATGTCCATGTTAAATCACTTGCCTGGTGTGTAGCCCCAGGGCTCGTAGTAAGAAGGAAAGACCCCTAGGTGGCAGCCTCTCACAAAATCCTCATAATCCATTGGAAGTAGAGGGGAAGTGGATGACAGGAACTCTGGATGGAAGATTATCTAGAAAAAAACAACAGGAAAACACACATAATATCAGATCATACAAGGCAACAATAAGGATCATTCATAAGGTTGCTGCTTTTACACAGAATTTCTAACACTGATAGCATGGACATGATAGCAGTATTTTATGTATGGAAAATTGTTAAATAATGGTTGAATTACTTTAGCTCAGATACCTGATTTTCAAATCAAGAAAGGAGAAAGTAGGCATTTATTTTATCCAACTAGTTCCTTTCTCTCCCAAACTCTCTATTATTCACATAAATGCAATTTTTGAACTTTTTTTGCAACTTTAGAACAACTTTTTCATATGGAGAAGTGAAGCAGGTTGGACCACCTACGCTCAGCCAATCAGCTCTCATCCCTATATATCATATAGGAATGCACACAGCTCTTTCTTACAGGTTTGTATGTGACAAAATGCTTTACACAGACAGCATAGTTTGAATTTCTCAAAGAATATTCTTACTATTATTTGTGCTGCTGTTGACCTGGACCTGAGTGCAGTGTTTCATTTCTGTGTATTTTTTATACTGAAATGACAAATAAATTCTGATTCTGAGAAGTCTGATTTCGTCACCATACACTAATTTAGAAAGGAAACGTTGGGTAATGCAGCCAAAATGGAGGCTAAAAACTACTGCTTTCAAAGTTGGTGATTAGAAAGAGATTCTTTGTAGTGTTTTGGTAAACTGACATGATGTATGCATTGATACGGATACTGGTATGGAATATCAGTGCCGATTCTGAAACATTTGCTGAATCAAGTATTGGTTCCATGATATCAGTTAAGGCGATATTGTGATTGAGCCTTTAATTGGTTGTAATAAGATTATTTACAGGCAGATTTTGGCCTATAATGTCTCAAAATGTTTGAACTTTTATTTCTACAAAGCTGCTCAGTGATCAAGATAAATGATAAATAACAGCTGCTTGACACAACTGGTTCTATTGTGTAACAGGCTAAATGTGTTTTCAGGAAATAAGTGCATCAGTGCAACCCTAAAAACTGGAATAAGCCAGTTTAGCAGAATAGCATTTAAGTTGTAAAAGTCAGACAGATCATACCTTGACGCGGTCAGAGGAGCTGTTAAAAAGGCCGATGCGACGCACACAGTTGAGGATGGGGTCACTGCTGTCCTCTAACATGTTGTGGGTGCAGATGGGGGGCTGGGACTGACGCTGCGTGGCAAAGATGGCGCGTTTCATGATCGTGAAATCCTCTTTGTCCAGCATCTTGGCTACATCTGGAAGCTGCCCACTAGATAGAAATGATAATGAAAATTTTTATGAGTCTGTAACGATCAATAAAAGTGAAAACTTTTCATATTGAAACATCCACAACGCACTTAGAAAAAGAATTTAATTTTAGATCAGCGTTTTATATCATGTCATTTACTTACACTAAAAGCGACTCATACAGTTTCTTCCCAAAGCGTTCTTTCACAGTCTGAGCTGTGTCCCTATAAAATAAAAATGAACACATCATAAGTCCATAAAAGTAGTGTGATCATTGTCTATATTTGGACTAGTATCATATCTAAATCTCACCAAAGCTGCTTCCTGACAGCTTGGCCCTTCAGTGTCTCCACATTAAAGTTATTTGTTCGAGCTGGCATAATGAAGAAAGCTATGACGGTCACATCACTGTTGTTAACCTGTGAAAAGTAAAGTTACATTTAAGTTTAATGAATTACAAATAAAAGGGATGTTTTTTAAGCACACAGGGACATTCTTACTCTGAGGAGGTAGTTGAGTCGAGCCAATGCCTCCAGAAACAGGTCCGCTCCCTTATTGGAAAACTCGTACCTTCCAGCGATGAAAAGAAACAGGCACTTGTCCAGGTTAAAATCAAGATGCCTACAAAAAATAAATGTATTGTAATTTTTAGGACTGTGTGATTGTGTTGTTTAAATAGCATTGTGTTAATCTATAAGGAGGAGCTGTACCCATAGAAGTGTCCTCTCACAAACTCCTGAATACGATTCTTGTTCATGGCGTGCAAGTTCTGAAACTCGTGCACAGCGGAAAACTTCTTAACATTGAGCCCATTTGGAGTGACGATATCTGAGGAGTAAAAATGGCAGGTCAATGTTGTTAATAATGGACAAATGAAGAGAGAAATTGGATATGCTGGAGTTTTCTGCTTGTCACCTGGTTTCCTCTTGAGTAAGTGCTCTGCCTCTATCGCAGTGATCTTGGACACAGTGGTGAAAACGTGAGCGCAATGTGCAGCCGCTCTCTCGATGCAGTACCGGTGGTAAATCTGTCTGTCACCAGCCTCTTTGTCCAGATTGAACTGAGGAAGAACGTGCCAGAATTTGATTTCCCTTTTACAGCAAAGAATCTGAACTGTATGCAGCTTGCACACAACTGAACCTGGGTTGCCAGTGCCTTAACCTGCACTTTGTCACTCACTGAGCTGCAGAGGTTGCACTAGCACAGATTAATCATTGGCTACAAATCATAATTCAGATCAGAGATTCCTTTAGGTTTAACCCAACTGAATTTCAGCATTGAAACTGGCAACCAAAGACCCATGTGACACTCATTCTGCTTTCTGATTGGGTAACTGTCTCGAGCACTAAAACACCAATATAATAGATAACCTGGCCGTAATATCCAATGTTTTTGTAATTAAGAATAAATCAGACCAAAGGTGTGTTAATTTTGTCTTCTTATGTACTTTAAATTCTTAGGTTTTTTTAAAAAGACAATACAGTAAAGTGTATTTATTGTGTTGACATGTTTCTGCCTCTTCAGAACAGTTCTGAAGAAACATGTCAACAAAGTAAATACACTTTACTGTATTGTCTTTGAAAAATAACCCAAGAAATTAAAGAATAAATCAGCATTACAATTATTATCAGTACTACCCTATACCCTGTATCTATGCACACAGAAGGGTGATATCTATAGATTATGCTAATGCTCACCTGTGCCAGATTGTTATAAAAGTCCACATTTCCAGCACACAGGTATCTTCCCAACAGTGTAGCGTGAGTAGTGAAGATGGTTGCTACGGGCAGCTGCCTCTGTCGAGTTAACACTAACCCCAGTCCCGCCAACCACTCATGGAAATGGGCCACGATGTGAGGCGGCTCCTCTGACTGGGCTGCATACTACAATATGGGACACAATGTCATTTGCAATAACAGCCCATGAGAAATCATTATACAGCATTGTAACCACGGATCTCTCACCTCGCCAAGAAACCATGCTGTAAGGAAGCCAAAAAGCACGGCATCGTTGGCCTCTCGGTCAAACCACGGGACCCCGATAGAACAAAGCTCCCACAGCTCGCTCTTCCAGCTGTCCAGAGACCAGGCGGTGTATGCAACATCAATCAGAATTACATAAGGACTGCCCTCTATCAGCCAGCGACCAAAGTAGAGCTGTGAAAGGCAAATTTAATTATAGCCATTTATTATTAGAAAGAATCTGATGATCACCATTCATTGAAACAAACTTGATCTTTTAGGTGAAACCAATATGGGTGCTTTGCTGATGTGACCTTAAGAACACTAGAGGACAGAGAAATGACGCGGCACAAAGCACGAGGAGTATTGCACAGCCAGTATGCCGTCTATTTCTGGAGAGAGACGCACAGAGACTGATGTGACCTCTGAACTTTGTTGGAAAATGTCACGGGTTCTAAAGCCGTGGTCAGGGACAGTGAGGTGTGTCCCAGAGGGGAGGGTCCAGGAGAATATTTAACTCACTACTAGATAGGCCGACAAATGTACTGTGATTTCATAAAGATCACAGATATTAGGGATGGCACGGTGTTGTTTCTTCATCACAAACATTTTGTTTCATTCACACATGTTTAAACACACAAATCCTGCATATTTAGGCTGAGTTCTTCTCTCAAACAGAAAATGTGAGGTCATGTGGTAATACAGGAAGTGCTCCGCTGTGTTTTTAAACTCCATACACCTTCACTAGAAAGATTTGGATAATTTCAGCCCTGGAATTAGTGATTTCTATGAAACAAAATGCCACTACATAGCATCACAAGATGGAACAGAGCATACTGAGTTTTAGAGATGTAGACAGCCCAATAATGCAGGTTTACTCAAATGTGTGAATGAAACAAAAGGAGGAAGTAACCTGGCTAATAGCTCACAAGTCAATTTAGTTAACATAAACATGAAGGAAAAACTTATTTTAATGAATGAATAAATGTTTTTCATGTATTTTGTCACAGAAGCCACATACAGATTTAAGGTTGATAACTGATTTGTGAAAAAGTACAAAGATTGGCTCAATATATATATGACAATATCTCATTTAGACCTTTTCAAACATGTTCTGAAGTCACAGCACTCTTGTAGTCTTCTCTCAAAATGTTAATGTTCCTGCACTCATCTACAATGTGTACTCCTACTTTTTAAAGGTCCCATATTACGCAAAACTGACTCTTGCGCTTCTGTCAGTATGCCCCAGGGCAGCTGTGGCTACAATATTAGCTTACCATCACCGGGTGTGGAGAAAAAGAATAATGAATCTATAAAAAAATGCTCTGTAAAGCGTCTTCGTGACTTATGTCTGTGAAAAAGCGCTATATAAATAAAGACTTACTTCTTGCGGCCATGATTCTGAAGCCAAGTTAGAATATTTTTACCTTATCAACAACATACCTGGGGTTGTGTTTTGTTTCATTCACACAAATTTGAGTAAAACTTGTCCATCTACATCATTACCAAAGTTCAAAACACTCTATTCCACCTTGTCATGTCATGAAGCGGTAGTTTTCAAGTTACCAGCTACCTTTTACCTTTAGTTCATTAGAGTCTCGCAATTTCAAGGCTGAAATCATCCAAATTATTCTAGTGAAGGCTTAAATATGCAGGGCTTGTGTGCTGAACATGTGTGAATGAAACAAAATACAACTGTTTATGTTTTTGACGAGGAAACAACATAATAACATAGATCAGAAAATAGCGTAACATGTTCCCTTTAAACCATTACAGTTAAAAATATTGCAAGTAGAAATATATCTTCCAAGAGTTTGAAAACCCTTAGAGTTGTTGAGAGTGGCAGAGGGGTATACAGTAGTACCTTACATCCACTGGCGTTCATTTGGTCAATGGTCCTCTTCAGTACCGGGTTGGTGGGCTCGATCAACTCCACCTGTGTGCGTACATTGCTCTCTACGTAGGGCCCCACCAGGAAATAGTTCTCTCCCCATTCCTCTGCGGTCAGGCGCGCTTTGGTCTGGATCACCGTGTAGATGCCTCCAACTTTGCACAACTCAATGTTAAAAATGTACCAAACAGATATGGCAAGAATGGTAGCAACTTCTTATACCTTTGTTGGCAACCTCCCAGGCGATTTCAAAAAGCACTGCATCCTCCAAATCAAAGTCTTCGTCCCAGTCCTCCATCCCCGGGAGGGACGTGACGGACAGGCTGCGAGGGAGCGGCATGCTGGGCAAAATAAAAAAATCATTTGAATGTTAATATCATACATTTTTCATAAAGGTGTGACAGGTTTAATTTGTTTAATGTTTAAAGTAGGGATGGGACAAGATCTCGTGCGGGAAAATTGTGCTCACATGTGGAAAATGATCTTGTGAGATTTTCCCCCACGTGTTTACGTTTGGCACAAATAAAAGAAGGGCACCATTTCAGAGTTACCCCTCTTGAGTATCTGTCGTTACAAAAAGCAGTGGTAGAGTGACAGCCAAAATATAAAATCAAAATAAATCCAAAATTATGAACTAAAGTGCACAAAATAACTAACACAAGATTAATGTCTTGTCTTCTCTCATTCTTCTGGACAATCTGTTGTGTCATGTCTGGTCTTGTCCCATAAGCAACTAATAAAAAAGCTCTTACATTCAGACAGCGCACATTCAAACTGGAGTCATGAACCACAATACTGGAATTCTTGACAGTCAGAAGAAACCCTGATTGCACACCTGATTTCATAATCTCTGGTAGATTGCAAGTTATGATGCAAGCACTAAGGACTTTCAACACACTTTGACAAAATTCACTTTTACCTTTTTAGAAATATATTCACCGAACAGTGACATTAACCAAGTGGCGCTTTCAGTAATAATTTGTTTGATCAAAGTATTTAGTTAATTATGAAATAGTGTCTTGGTGAATATAAATATATGGGAACAAATCCAGGTGAGCAGTAAGGGCAGATAAGGACAAGTATCTTCTGAGGCAGAGGCCCCACTGTGCACATACACACACACTTGTTGATACAGAATAGAAGCAAATGGAGGAAGGGAATCAGAGAAAAAAATAAAATAAGAGTAGCCCAAGTTACACAGGCCTGCATGAAGAGCTAGCCCTCCATTAGAAACTAAGGTACCCTGCACAATCCGTACCAAAATGTCACACTCATAGCTCGCAGTGTTTAAGCTGGAGTCCAAAATATCCCAACTATCAACCGGCAATTACAATGAATTTGACTTCATTCATTCTGACAGCAGCTAAGTGATGCTACAGGCTACAGTCCGCAGGCCAGAGCAGGGACATTACCTGAAGACTGGACAGAAGCTACTCCAGGACAAACACTAGCATTACACAAGAGCACCGTTAACAGGCCCGCTAGTTAAAAATGCATTCCCCCGTCAGAGCCTGAGCCTCGGTCCGCTCCGGAGCGCGCAGTGTGAACGTGACTCTAGACACAGCCACGGAAATGCGCGCACGACAGCGCGTCCTAGTGCGCGCTCCGGGATGTTAAAATGTATTAAAATGCAGATAATCACTCACTCACCCTGCTTTTGAGTCTTAACCTCACAGGCGCAGTAAACACATTAGATAAGCGGCTGTCGCAGTCAGTCCAAAAAAGCAAAACAGCGGAGAGAGGAAAGGGGGCGGCGGCTTTGGTTAAATGGCAGCAGCAACTTACGTTGGTCTGCAGCGTACAGCGTCACTAGGAAGAGCACTGTTGCGCCATGCCACATTATTCATGATAGAGACAGTTTTATTCATGATCTCAACACAACCATTGGCCACAAAGCCAACTGCCCACCTATTTACCCATGAGGTAAAAACTGGGCGGTTTTTTGGATTAAATCCAGCGCTGTTTTATCATAAAACTATTTGTAGTGGACATAATAAAAGGGCAGTTGCCACTACACAGCGTCTACTCAGAAAGCATTCAGTTGCAGCTGTGTAGACTATGGCTTCATGTGCATATGCGACTGGAGCATACAATCTGTGGACGGTAGTGACATAATTTTGTGCTTTTGTAATGTGTGACCTTGAGAATTTCAGTAAAAAAAAAACGCTATTAATCCGGCCTAAGCAAACAGCCCATTCTGATCCTTACAGCTATGCGCGGAGCTGCAAAGAGCACACACGCTGCAGTCTTCCTTGTACACTGCAGCTCTGCACGCTCTGTCCTCAAGACCCCTCGTAATTTTGCCGGGAACAAACTAGTCTTGATGAAAGTGTTTTGACCAATCATATCGGCTGCTGCGGCTGAAAGTCCCGCCTCTCTGATATATTCGTTGTTCTGATTGGCCTGAGGAACAAAACCGGAAGTCTTCCCCACTCTTGGGTTGGAAGTACACAAATTGAAGAGTGGCGGGAGCTCTTGTCATCTGGGCTCTAGTCCTTTGTCAGAAGTGATCTCTTTGACTTTATTTGTATGTTTACTGGCGGACTCAAGGGCACACATCTGACAGGTTTTGTTGAGTTATCGGTGCTGTCATAAAAGAGTAAGGAACCTTTGATTGTTCAATGTTTTCATGTGCATGTTAGCTTGTTGCTATAGCTGCTCAGTGTAGCTCCTCAGTGTTCATACTTTTAGCACTTTTGTCTCTATATCTCAGATGCACAGTGTGGTTTACTTGTGGTTTTGCTAACATTTATTAGCCAACACGTTTTTTGTTTACGTTTTCGACAACTCTAGCTGCTCATTTGGTTGTGCTACTTCCTGTGCTTGTGCTTAAGTTAAAACACATTTTCAGATATGTGAAGAATCCCTCAGTTGTTCAGGTAGAATCCACGGCGAGGAGAAAATTCAGTTTGTCGACTGGACAAAAGTTAGTTTGGTTGAAGACGTTTCGTTTCGCAGCTCATCCAATCTGCTTCTTCAGTTCTGGTCAGATGCTGTTGGACACTACCTTATATCTGCAGGGAGGAGCAGCAGTGGTCCTCAGTATACTGTACATCTCCACTTAAAAGCCACGGGCCACTCATTTGAGGACAGTGAGGTAGAGATTTTAGCCAGAGAAAAGAATTGTTTTGAGAGGGGAGTGAAAGAAGCCATTTTTGTTAAGAAAATCCTTCTCTAAACAGAAATGGAGGACTCAGACCCCATCTATCTCCTATTTATAACTCCTATCCTCAAACCTAAATCAAAGCAAACAAGAGAACAATAGGTGTAGTCACGTTAGGTCCAGAGGTGTGGAAGCTCCATTATGAATTGTTATGCTGTACAGGTCAATAGGTCCAACTAACCAGCAGAAACCAGCAGAAACTGTAAACAAGTAGGTGTGTTAGTTTCAGTTAGTGAGCTCCTCCCTGCAGATATAAGGTAGTGTCCAACAGCATCTGACCAGAACTGAAGAAGCAGCTTGGATGAGCTGCGAAACATCTTCAACCAAACTAACTTTTGTCCAGTCAACAAACTGAATTTTCTCCTCGCCACATTTTCAGATTAGAATAAAAAGCCCTCAACAAGCTCCCTGTTGTGTCTTGTTAGTTTCACCACTATTAACATGAATATGATTTGCTTTTATATTAATCTAGTGTACTTCAATTTATACTGAATGTCCCAACTTAATCATAAACATAAACATTTCCTGTAATAGCTTAATAATGTCCAAATATAATCTACTTGCAGGTATGGATTTTAAAAGACGTAATGGGGGTCTTCCTGGTGGGGGATCCCAGGCCAAAAAGGGTAAGACAGGCGGGGAATGGGAAGACAGTCCATCTCAGTTCGAAGAGGAGCTGTCTATGTTCGACGATGCAGAGATGGACATGGAAGACATGGAGGGACAGGCGGGACACGATGTCATTCCTGTGGGTAGGTTCATGCAAAGTTGTAAAACCATCACACAAATATTTAAAGTATACATGCATAGTAGGAATGTAATGATATCCAAATTCTTCAGTACGATATTTTCATGATATGCATGTCACGGTACGATATTTATTGCAATATTTTGAAGAAGCTGAACAGAACAGAATTGTGAATATACTACTTTTTTCTTTAAAAATCTCTTGACAAGCCTTTGGTTCTGTCATAAACCAAAAAGTTAAGATCTAAAAGTGCTTAATAAGTTATTTCATTGGACTATAACAGAGCAGAGGATCATGGTCTATGTATTTTTTTTAGCTGTTGCTGCACCAAAACAATGAATTTAAGCAAAGAGACTTGTAATTCAATATATTGTGATGGCCCACGATATTACTGAGAGACTTCTGACGATACGATATCACGATTTTTGGTTATTGTTGCATCCCTAATGCACAGTATAGCCTTTACACAAATTAGTCACTTTTCTACACTGATTAGTGGGAGCAAGGCTGAATGATAAAGACATTCGTAATCATTCAGCCTTGCAATATGGCTCTTGCTGATCATTACAGGGTCGGAAAGTGACTAAATACAAAAATTACTTATATTACTGTAAAATAACAACACATTTTTTTGGGATAATTGTACTAGTAGATGCAATTAAGTATACTTACTACTTATATTTGAATTCATAGGGGTTGTCATACTGTCTCTACTCCTTTACTAAGTTTGCAAACACATATAACAGCACTGCATTGCCTTCTCTGACTTTGGCTATAGCTCAAATAATGTATGGATTGAGGTTCAAAACAACTTAATAAAGTATTGCATAAAAGACTGATCTAAAATGCTACCAAAAGTATTTTTCATGAATACTTTTACTTGTACAAATTTGTCAGCAATATTTGTGCTTGTAATTAAATATAATTGTAGTGGCGTAGTTGTACTTTCACCGCTGTGTATTGTTTTATTGGAATCATAAGCCCTGTAATGTGTATTCCATTCTGAGGTCTCCTGTTCCTAAACCGAATTGTCCGTTTTATAAGTAATCTCATATTTTTTTTCACTTTTTCATCAGGTGACTTGTTCTCTGCTGACCTGAATCCTCGCTGGCGACGACCTCCAGCTCCCACTATAAACCCTGCGACAGACACTTTGGTTTTCCAGCAGATAGACCTGGACTATTATTTAGGTGATTATTGATTATTGGTGATTGTTTTATGTGTTCAGGCATTGTATTAAAACTCTCTATTACACTCATGTCGTACAGGCACAGCAGTTGCAGGCATGCCGGGTCAGACACAGGGAAAAGTGCCCATCATCCGGATGTTTGGTGTGACAGACAGTGGCAATAGTGTGTGCTGTCATATCCATGGATTTGCTCCCTACTTCTATGTGCCTGCTCCACCAGGTGAGTATCTCCTTTATAACTTTAAAGAAGGCATACTATGTTTATCTCCAGGTGCTTTTGTATTAAGCTATATAACATGGGTAGATAACTGTTTTATATTTTGTTGATTGAAAACTACAATATTGACCTTTGGAAACAGGTCCACTGACTTGCTGTTCATAACTGCACAACACACCGTTTCATAGTGGCATTTCACTGTAGCAAGCAGCAGGTTTTCGTCATATGTTTTTATTTTTGAATTGTTCCTATAATTTTAAACCTAACCTGTCAGTCTTAATTAAAAAAAAGAAAAGAAAAGAAAGAAAAGCTAACTAAAAACAGGTTCTGGGTGGGGCTAGGGCCTAGGTGAAAACAGGAAATTTCTGCTTTCTGAAACTTCACATGCAGGACTATACAGTGCTGCTCAAACATGTCTCTGAGTAAACTAATGGTAAGGGAACAAATAACTAAAGATGATTCATTTCCTTTAAGAATAATATTCCTGTGAAGAAAAATATGTGAGCTGTATTTGACCCATCCCTCAGTGCCACCAACGCACTAACGATTATTACCTCCGCCAAGGAGGTTATGTTTTTGCCGGCCAAAAATTTTGTTTCTCAATATCTCGGTTAATTATTGACCAAACCCCATGAAATTTGACTCGGGGATGGACAATGGGATCCTCTTTCATATTCCAAAGGCTGATCCGGATCTGATCCAGAAGACTGATTTTATCGCAATTTATATAATAAATGGGGGTGGTCCTTGGCGGACGTCTGTGCTCTCTGAGTGCTTTTCTAGTTTAAACTGTATTAATTGTGTATCATTCTGTTACTAAAGGTTTCAAGTCTGATTACTTGGGAGAATTTCAAAGAGAATTAAACTCTGTGGTGCTAAAAGACATGCGCTCCAATAAGGATAACATCTCTGTCACTGTGCTGGCTGTAGACATCACCCGCAAAGAGAGTGAGTAAACAAGAGCCCACATTCATAGAAAAGATAAATATTTTGAAATAATCTGTTATTATTGTCCTTTAGGTATGTATGGTTATCACGGGAAACGCATTCTCGATTTCCTAAAGATCACCATGGCAATGCCTCGTCTTATCGCTCCAGCCAAGAGACTCCTGGAGCAGGGCTTTAAGTTTGGGCCTTTTGCCCTTCAGAGTTACCAATCCTATGAGGCCAACATCGATTTTGAAATCAGGTATTGTGACCTATTGTATACAGTAAAACTGGTCCAATAAGGATTTTTAGAACAGCTATTCTATATTTTTTATGTTGCTTTGTCTCATAAAACATGTTTGGGCCTTGATTAATGTCTGTATCAGCAAATATTGGTCAGGTTATAGTAACAATTCACTTTCTGCAAAAAAAAAATAAAATAAATAAATAAATGAAGAAAAAATATATCAAGCAAACTAAGAATGATGCGTTTCAATTATATGATGTAACAAAAAACTAATAATGAGTCTAAAAGTAATAGTTTTTAAAATATAATAAGGCCTTTATAAACTAGGTATTAGAATAAAATAAACATTGACAAACTATACATTTTAGTCACAATTGCATTATTGTATAAACATAGTTAAGCTGAGTTGCGCTTTTAGTTAAATTTTCACTCAACATGTTCAAAAATTGTTGGTGCCAAATATCAATCTGTTCTCGGTTGTTAAAAAAACCAAAAACAAAACATTTCTCATTTCTTAGTTTCACATAAAGGGCAAACATAAATTCTACCTGCCTGTTCTATTACAGGTTCATGGTAGATTGTGACGTTGTGGGCTGCTGTTGGATTGAACTCCCCAAAAACAAGTTCAGAGTTCGGGAGGAGAAGAGCGCGGGAGGGTCGTCTCAGTACCCGGGCAAGGTCGGTCTGGTTATCCATTTTTACTGACCATTTTGCACACACAGTCATATTACCTTTTTGTTCTCTGACTTTGGTGTTATTGTTCAGGTTTCCTTGTGTCAATATGAAGTGGATGTGGGCTGGAATGATATGATAAGTCACCCGGCGGAGGGGGACTGGCAGCGGATTGCACCACTCAGAGTTCTGAGCTTTGATATTGAGTGTGCAGGGAGAAAAGGTACAACACAACTTCACATTATAAATTTCACATATTTAGAGAGGGTTTGCGCTTCCACATTCACCACATCAAAATTAAGCCTACACTAGGACTAAACCCATAAATAAACTTGGACAAGACCAGAACTAAATAATGAAGTCCCCCTATCTGTGTCCTTCGTAACATTTCTTGTGGAGGGCCTATTACCTAACCTGGCACTCTGAATTGAGTTGCACACATTTATCGATCTGGAACGATTCTTGCTGAAAACGATCTAGAAAATGCAGAACATCCTGACGATTATTTAAATCTGATTGTTTGAAGCAACAATGCAACAAGCTGAAAAATCAAATTTTTGTTAGATCCAGTCCACAAATGCACAAATAGTTTGTACTGATGCTAATATAGGCTGAAGTACCTCTGTCAACGTTGCCTTGCTTGTTTTGGTTCATTCTGGTGCTGCACCTCTGGCTTCTACACAAACCTCAATGCTGCTCTGTGATCAATTAAAGCCATACTGTAGAACATTCTAGGCAAAGCAATAACATTTCCATGGAGAGAGACAAGCGGTGTTACCCAGGTTGGTGCCACCTAGTGCCTCTGCTCAATTTCATTTCTTTCCAGCGACTAGGTAAGGAATCAGAATACACTAGATGATTTGCACGAACCCCGAAAGTTTTAGACTGCACACTGGCCAATCAGCAAAGACCTGTGAAACCATGACGTCAAACGCAAGCTCCTGTCTGGGTACCTTTTGTGGTTCAGCACAACAGTAAACAAAGCGGTCGAGATGGATGTAGACGAAGCCATACATTCTGTGTTGGCAACGATTCCCAAGTTCGAGGATTTAAAGCTGGAACAAAGAGAAAGTTTGTTGAATTTTATCAAGGGTAAAGACGTTATTGCCATTCTTCCTATGGGATTTGGCGCATTACATAAGTCACAACCAAATAGCAGTGATTGGTTAAATAAAAGAAGTACCTGTCTACCGTCAAACGAATGAATCCTAATGATGTGAGGTCAGACAGTTTCCACGAAGTGAAACTGGCTCAGGCTAAATCAGGCTAAAGAGGTGTACCCTGAACCAGAAAAGTTGCATAGTCCACCTTTAACTTGGAATGGCACTGAGTCAGTTTTGCAGCTCTATCCCCACAGTTGATATTGCATGGTAAAGTGTCCTTGGGCAGTACACTTTCCCGATTTTCTTAGAACTGATAAATGGATGGAGGAGCTGTTGGCACACACTGGTAGCTACACCGTATTAGTCAGTCCTACATTTTTATCTATAGTAGTTGCTCACCAGTTACTACTTCATTAATCTAAAACATACAGTAACTACCACATTTTTCATCTTTTGTGTGTAGGAATCTTCCCAGAGGCAGACAAGGATCCTGTCATTCAGATTGCCTCCATGGTCCAGCGACAGGGCGAGACAGAGCCATTCATCCGCACAGTGTTCACCCTGCAGTCCTGTGCCAGCATCGTGGGCTCCCAAATCCTCTGTTTTACACAAGAAAAACAGCTACTCCAGGTATTTAATGAACACTGCTTATTTTTATATTGTATTAACTATATTTCCTTGCTTACATGTCAGCTTGGTTTGTTTTTGTAGAGTTGGGCCGAGTTTTTGCGGACAGTGGATCCAGACATCATAACTGGATACAATATTCAGAACTTTGACTTTCCATATTTGCTGAATAGGGCTGCTGCTTTGAAGGTATGCTGTATATATTGGCTATATTGGTGTTTTTTCAAGATTTATTGTTTTTCTATAATGTATTTGTAATAAAATGTGTTTAGGTCAACCTGTTCCCTTACCTGGGCCGAGTGCGAGGGATCAAGTCTGTGTTGAAAGATCTAAACTTTCAGAGTAAACAGATGGGGAGGCGTGAAAACAAAACTATAAACATGGAGGGACGTGTTCAGTTTGATCTGCTGCAGGTACAGTATTTATTTATATTTGCTACCAACAGTTACTACTTTTACTGACTAAATACCATTACCCTATAAACACCAAGTACTAACTACTACCAATAAAATACATCTACTGCTTGCTACTACTTCTCACTACAACAGTTACCACTACCTCTAACTACAGTTGTTACTACTACTTACTACTACTACTAAGCAAATAAACACAAGGAACTACATATCCCATGATTCATTTCAGTGGAGATAACATGAAGAGATATGTTTTTACTTGAATTCTTGGAATTTTGACGTAATAGTTCACACCAAAATATTGTCAAGGTCTTTTAAAAGCAACAAAGTGTCCTATCTACAATTATATTAGCCTTTTTAAAATATTGCAATAAATATACCGTGAAATTTGGATATCGTTACATCCCTGCTAGTAATTTCTGCCATTACTCTACTACTACTTATTACTATTACCACTACTTTGGCTGCTATTACTATCAACACTACCGTTACCATTACTGTGTTCTGTATATTTTCTTAACCTACTATTTATTACCAGCTCTACTTCTTAATGATACCCAGCAGTAGTAGTTTTAGAAGATGCCGATACGATACATACATAGACCACAATACGATACACATCTCGATACAGTGCACTTTCGATTTGATATATTTCAGATTGATTCAGTACAGTTCAATAAAACATAAAAGCTAAATGATGGCTGTGATACTAAAAGACATTGTTAAACCACTTCTTGTGCAAACTGAATATGAAACACGCCCCTTTTAATCATCGAAAGAGTGATGAAAATGTCAAATGTGTTAAACGAGTTTCCTTGTCTAAAGAAGCAACAAAACTGTACACTGTAACAAAATAATTTAGTAAAATATACAAAAAATATTCTTGGCGATATATCGATACAGTATCAACAATATGGGCTGCTGTATCATCACATGAAACAATACTATATTTTCATATTTTTGCACTCCTCTAACTACTACTGCATTGAATATGATTTGGTGCATCAGTAGTTATTTTTTACTACAACCACTGCTGCAACTGCAAACGGTACTAGTACTTTTCCATTCAGTTTGACCTGCTATAGAAATACATTTAACTACAACAACTACTACAACTATTTGTCCTAATATTATTGTCTCCTTAGGTTCTTCTCAGAGACTATAAACTTCGCTCATACACACTAAACGCTGTCAGCTTCCACTTTTTACAAGAACAAAAAGAGGATGTCCAGCATTCTATCATCACTGACCTACAGGTAACTAAAACAAAAAGCAAGCACAATTGTAAAATGTACTGTGAGAATGCTTTTAAATACTTTGAAATCTTTTCCAGAACGGTAATGAGCAGACCCGTCGCCGTTTAGCTGTGTACTGTCTGAAAGACGCCTACCTGCCACTGCGACTGCTGCAGAAGCTGATGTGCGTGATCAACTATATGGAGATGGCGAGGGTGACCGGGGTGCCATTGACCTACCTGCTCTCCAGAGGGCAGCAGATCAAAGTTGTGTCTCAGCTACTGCGACAGGTACATTTAAGAGATTATAGTCAAATTGGCTCCTGATGGTTTGTTTTTTGTTTGTTTAATGATTTGAATTTTTGTGTTCCCAGGCGATGAAACAGGACCTGGTCATGCCTGTGGTGAGAACTGAGGGAGGCGAAGATTATACAGGAGCCACTGTTATTGAGCCAGAAAAAGGGTTTGTGTTCTTGTCTTTGTCTAATTTTTAAATATTATGCTTATACTCATACTTATTGTTTTTCGTTAATACAAAGCAAATGTACAGATTTTCAGTATTATCATTAGGATTTGTTAATTGGTAAAGTAATTTTGAAATAGTTACATGTATCTGTGATCTGTTTCTGTTCAATATCGAAAGTCTTATATTATGCAAAATTGACCCTTCTGAGCTTTAAGTTATGTCAGAATGTTGTTACCTCGTCAAAAACATACCCGGAGTTGTGTTTTGTTTTATTCACACATGTTTGAATCTTTATTAGTCTGTCTACATCTCAAAATGCTCTATTCCACCTTTTTTCCTCCAAATTAAAAGCTACCTTTTACCTTTTGTACAGTAAAATGGGCAATTTCTAGATTGAAATTATCCACATGATTCTAGTGAAGCTGTATGGAGTTTAAATACAAAGTGGAGCACTTTCTCCACCACTTGACATCACAAGGTGGAACAGTGCTTTCTATTTGAGAGAAAAACTCAGTCTAAATTTGGGGGTTTGTGTGTGAATGTGTGAATGAAACATAACACAACTCCAGGTATGTTTTGATGAAGAAACGACATTATAACATAAGGCCTTTAAATAATTTTTTTCATCTAGTGTTTGGTCAGGTTTGTCTTCAGTTTGACGTGCATATTTTTTAATTCTTTCTTTCATCCTTTAGATATTACAGCATTCCCATTGCTACTCTGGATTTTTCCTCTCTGTATCCGTCTATCATGATGGCTCACAACCTATGCTACACCACACTGCTGCAAAGAGGAGCTGTGGAGAAACTGGGGTAAATTACTATAACCACTAAGAAATGATTCAGTTAAATTAAAGTTTATTTACATTGCACATTTAAAACAACTTCAGCTGACCAAAGTACTTCACATAAAAGTAAAAAAAAAAAAATCTAAAACTAAAAAAATAATCCTATTTCTCAGAGGTGGGTAGAATAGCCAAAGACTGTACTCAAGTAAGAGTATTGTTCCTTTAAAATAATATTACTCAAGTAGAAGTACAAAGTATTAGTAGAGGTCCAAAGCTTGAGGAACTTGAGGAAGAGTGAAAACGTATTTGGGATACTACTACTACTACAAATTATAGATATTATATGCAGACAGTTACACTTATTAGAGTAAACAAAAAATAAAATAAAACAATGGAAAAAAATCTGGTATGTCCACAAAAATTGAGCAAGACAAAATCGTATTTGAAGGAGCAGTGCAAGAAACACAAATGTTCAGATAATTTCATATTGTCAACATAACACTGTAAAATATCTGTGGTATTTAAAAAAAGTTGCTTATGTAAATGTACTTATTACCCACCTTTGCTAATAATTAATAATGGTTTGCAGGCTTTCATCTGATGAGTTTATCAAGACTCCCACAGGGGACATGTTTGTGAAGAGCTCTGTGAGGAAAGGTCTACTTCCTGAAATTTTGGAGAACCTGCTGTCTGCCAGAAAAAGGTATCAGAAGTCACCAAGAAAAACACAAGCTAATTTACCACAATACAACAATACGATCTCCTATCTCGTTTACATTGTGCGTCCGCAGAGCAAAGGCCGAACTCAAGAAGGAAACTGACCCATTCAAGAAACAAGTGCTGGACGGTCGACAGCTCGCTCTCAAAATCAGTGCCAACTCTGTGTACGGATTCACCGGGGCTCAAGTCGGCAAGCTCCCATGTCTTGAAATCTCCCAGGTGATAAAAATGTTTTATTTGATCTGCTGCAGTTGTAATATATTTGCTACCAAGTACTGCTACATTACTTCTACCATCTGACATTACCACCACCACTACTACCATGACAACTACTACCTACCGTACTACTAACTACTGACATTACTACTACTGCTACTAATGACTGACATTACTACAACTACTACCACAACACCTACTACCTACTACTAACTACTGACATTGCTACAACTACTATTAAATATTGGCATTACCAGAGCCACTATGTATTGGCATTATCACTACTACCTACTACTATTACATTCTTCTACTACTACTACTATAAATGAATACCTAATACTACTTTACAATCTACTACTATTTTTATTAAATGGTAAATAGTCACATTTTTCTATGGCACTCAAAGCGCTTTACAACAAAAACCACTCACCCATTCACACACCAGTGTACGCAGAGACTATGGGCAAGGTATCTTGCCCAAGGACACAACTACAGCATTCATCTGTGGGAGCTGGAATCACACCAGCCAACCTGTGAGTCAGTGGATCTGACCGCTCAACCTGCGATGTTTATGTCGAGAGCTGGGTTCGAACTGCCAACCATCAGATCAGTGGGCGAATGCTCTATCAACTGAGCTACTACGTACTACTACCTACTACTAGGGGTGTGCAAAAATATAGAAATATTGATGAATCGAATCGTTTAATGTGATACAGTATCAATATCATGGGCTGCTTTATCAACATATCACCAAGAGTATTTTTTGGTATATTTTACTAAATTATTTTGTTACAGTGCTATAGTTTTGTTGCTTGTTTAGAGGAAGGAAACTCGTTTATACAGCACATTTGACATTTTCACTGCTTTTGATGATTAAAATGGGTGTGTTTCATATTAACTTTGCACAAGAAGTGGTTTAACAAAGACTTTTAGTTACACAGCCATGATTTAGCTTTTTACTTTTTAATTGAACTGTATCAAATCAAATTGAAAGTGCACTACTACAAAAATCTAATACTACTACTACTACAATATAAGACTGCTACTGCTACTACTGCTTAGCAGCACTGCTATTATCATTCTGTGTGTAGTTTTGATTGTTGCAGGAATTAGTAAAACAAAAACAGGAATACATTTAGGACTTTAAAAATCATGTATTTTTTTATAGAGTGTGACTGGATTTGGAAGACAGATGATTGAGCAGACGAAACAGCTTGTCGAGTCCAAGTACACCATCGCCAACGGGTATGAAGCTGATGCCAAGGTAAGCTTTTGGTTGCTATGATGGTGCCAGCTATCAGATATGAACAAAACATAAACACTTTTCTGCATTGGTTCTTCTTGGTTCGTGTGCAGGTCATTTATGGAGATACAGATTCTGTTATGGTTAAGCTCGGTGTTGCCACGGTGAGAGAAGCCATGGATATCGGGAAGGAGGCGGCCGAGTGGGTTTCATCTCATTTCACACAGCCAATCAAACTGGAATTTGAAAAGGTAATAAATCACACAACAGCATTCCAAAATATCAATATTTAAAATTAAGACTGAGGGCAGGTTAAAATTGCATGAATTTGCCTTTGCTGTTGTCCAAAAATTTTGTCATGGCTTAATATCTAATCAGTTTAATTTCCAAGTAATTTCCCTTGTGGATCAATAAAGTCTAAAGCCCTATTCGCACAGGATAAGTACAACCTGGGGACGTCTGGTAATTTGCAAATTACCACCTCACCTCTGTTACTTGGAGCGCATTCGGTCGGGATAAGTGAAGTCCGCAAAGTAATTAGAGAAAAGAACGTGGAAAGAAAAAGAAAGACATGGAAAAGGCGTGCAATTATAGTAACAAACACTGAGATGCAGATTCACATTTTGCATGGGACTAGTTTTATCACTGGACGTCTGTGTTTAGTGAAATGTAGTAGGTAATTTGCGTCAGAATTTTTACTTTACAAATTACAGACATGGCACATTCGCACGGGATTAATATCTCAGGCATCCTCCGCAATTATTACAAATCACCAAAGGTCCATAGGTAAATTAATCCCGTGCAAGTAGGGTTTAAGTCTAAATGAATGGGCCCATCTATATTAAACAAAAAACTGCATTAATTTCAGTCTTCTTCCCAGCACAAATGAATTAAGGAATGTACTTTTTTTTAAGTATAGTATTTAAAAGTTGTGTTTTCAATTGCAAATGCACAGTTGATGTCATTTGAAAGGACCATAATACTATAAGATGAAGCTAATGGATTAGGTAAAAAAAAAATTACAATGGTCAACAGTGTGTTTGACTGTCTGAGATTTCTTTCAAAAACTGTAAAAAACTGTAAAAATAAAAATAAAAATGTCCATAGAAGTTAAGAGGTCCCTGTTTTCCATCTGAAATTATGACATCAAATCCTAGAATGTTGTGAACATAGTAAGAGTATTAATAGTATTTCAAAGGTGCACTACGTAACTTTCCTGGCTTGTTTCCATGGAGATGATATCACCACAGTATGGGATTGGCAGTGATTTCACAGTGGGTGTTTTCATAGCTTAAAAATGCCTTTGAAAAACATGACACTCCCATAACTTGACCAGGTTGCTTCGCCTGCTTGTCTCCGCGAAGACAGACAAGTTTAATGCCATACTGTGGGACATTCCAGGCAAAGGAAGGACAAGCAAAATGAAGACAAGCCGATTGAACGATGTCTTAGCACTACAGCTAATTAAGTATGTGTGTTCCCCTAAAGGTGTACTTTCCATATCTGCTGATCAACAAGAAGCGATACGCAGGGCTGTACTTCTCCTCCAGTGCTGACACTCACGACAAGATGGACTGTAAAGGAATTGAGACCGTGCGGAGAGACAACTGCCCTCTAGTGGCTAATCTCATCAACACATGTCTCCAGAAAATTTTGATAGACAGGTAAGCACAAATCTACCACCCTGTTATTTTGATCAGAGGTGGGTAGAGTAAAGAAAATGTCAATGTACAGTATCTAAAAGTACAAAATAGTGGCCAAAGAAAGTACTAAACTAAATTTGTATAAGGAATAAAAATTAAATGAGCCACTAAATCTGGTATTTTCAAATGATAGACCATAAAAAACAGCGAGAAGAGTAACCAGAACTTTTACTCAAGTTGAGAACTGTAAAATTGTGAAATGTAGAAATAGTATTGTATTTTCCACACCATAGGGTGTGCTCTTAAGCCTCCAACCCCATCAAAAAACAACTGCGCCCCACAATCCAGTGCGCCCTACACACAAATCCACTCAGGTGTCCCAGCACGACTTCAGTAAACTACAAAGCCGCAGACAGCGACCACGCAGCAAAAACACCCACAGCCACACTCATCACTCCATGTGAACGAGGAATGTAACGGAGGAATGAACTGAAAAAGCGAGTGCAATGTGCCACTTCTAGCCACAACTGAACAACTGAGTCACTGCGAACACGCCAACAATCCAGCGGTCCCAGACAGCACCCTCCCTACACGCCACAACTGAACAAAGCTGAGAGTCACCGTGAACGTGCCAAACAAAGTCTGACTGACCCATCTAACTGTTTAAAGTCCGGTGCGGTTTATTTGTGAAAAAAGTCTAAAAATAGACCATTCTATGACAGTGCGCCTTACAATCCAGAGCGCCTAATAGTGCGGAAAATAGGGTAGTAGTAGTATAGCGTTTGAAAACTACTCTGATAAGTACTGTTAAAATAAATTAAAAAATACTAGAGTAAATGTGTTTGCATGAATGTAAACAAGTACTACAGTTTGTTTTTATTAACAGAGAGTTAAATGTTACACCTTCTCCAACAGAGACCCGCAGGGAGCCGTAGACCACGCCAAAGAAGTCATCTCAGATCTGTTGTGCAACCGCATAGACATCAGCCAGCTGGTGATCACCAAAGAGCTGACGCGCACAGCCCAGGAGTACGCTGGCAAACAGGCCCACGTGGAGCTTGCTGAGAGGTGAGGCCATGTACTTTAAGGGGAAATGCCAATTACAATTTACGTTTTAATTAGAATTTTTCCTTCCCAAGTTAAGATTCATGAGCATAGACGCTACACATTTTCTGTCAGAGTCATTTAAAGGTTTTAAGAGGCTTGTTTTCATGGATATTGTTACTTTGCTGGAGAGTTCCAAAGTACAGAATTAAACTGATCTATTTTGCATATATTGAAAAGTCTAATTATTGCTCAAAAAATACATTCTTACTGTGGGCAGGGTCACCTCCCCACAGATCTGGCATCTGGCGGACTGAAGATAGACACATTTACTGCCATATTGTGAAATATTTCTTATCACTTTCATGGAGACAACCAGAGAAAAAGGAAAAAGTTGTCTAGGAAACCATTAACACACAATAAATCCATGTTTTCCACCAAAATCTGAACTCCTCTTTACTGGCTTGTAGAACAAAAAAACAAGCTGATCATCACAATTACTTTTTGACTATTTACACAACTCTATTTTTGAATATTTTTTCCAGAATGAGAAAAAGAGACGCAGGTAGTGCCCCTAATTTGGGAGACCGAGTTCCCTATGTCATCATTAAAGCGGCGAAAGGAGCAGCTGCGTATATGAAATCAGAGGTGTGTGCTGCTCTAAATATGATTACTTTTTGCTTACTGTAGTATTATGCAGTACTGCATTAAAGTATTTTTGTTCACCCACTCTAGGATCCTATCTACGTGCTGGAGAACAACATTCCCATCGACACTCAGTACTACCTGGACCAGCAGCTGGCCAAGCCCCTCTTGAGAATATTTGAGCCTATTTTAGGGGAAACCAAAGCAGAAAGCGTCCTGCTTAGTGAGTATTCAAACTATTAAAGAAGTTATATTGCGCTTTTTTCATAGTAGTGCTTTTTCTTTTTAATAATTACAACAAAATACAGGAAAAGTAGGTGGGGACAAGGGGTAGGGGAAATAGGGGTGTGCAAAAGTATCTAAATATCAATAAATCATATCGTTTTATGTGGTGATACAGTATCGATATCGTGGGCTGCTGTATCAATATATATCACCAAGAATATTTTTTGATATATTTTACAAAATTATTTTGTTACAGTGCTACAGTTTTGTTGCTTGTTTAGAGGAAGGAAACTCGTTTATGCAACACATTTGACATTTTCACTGTTGTGGTGATTAAAATGTTTGTGTTTCATATGAACTTTGCACAAGAAGTGGTTTAACAAAGACTTAGTATCACAGACATGATTTAGCCATTATTTTTTTATTGAACTATATCGAATTGTTTTTAAATATATCGTATTGAACTGAAAGCTCACTGTATCGAGATAGGCATTGTATCGTGGCCTAAGTATCGAGGTATGTATCGTATTGGCATCTTAACGATACCCAGCCCTTAGTGGAAAACAGACATTTTTAAGGACTGAATGCAAAACGGTACAGGATTACTCAAACATCCATGAATCAACTGAATTCTGAGTAGATTATAAGGGAACACCAATATAACATGGTTAAAAGCACATATATCTATTTTATTGATTTCTTTTTATCAAACAAAGGAAATTATTGATAAAAACTACAACTATGCATTGTGTGTGGCAGAGGGCGACCATACCCGCTGTAAAACCGTGCTGACCTCAAAGGTGGGAGGCCTCATGGCGTTTGCCCAGAAGAGGAGCACCTGCATCGGCTGCAAAGCTGTGCTCAAAACAGATGGTGTGTATTGGACGGTTTTGGGTTCATGTTTATAGACTTCTCAAACACTTATGTGGGTGTTATGGTGAACAAACACAATCTCTGTATCATTGCAGCGGCTGTGTGTGATTTCTGTAAGAAGAAGGAATCTGAACTTTACCAGAAGGAGGTGAGACACAAGCACATCATTTTCAGTTTGTTGCCTGTCCAACACTACTTTATTGTTTAGACATGTTTTTTGTGGTTTTTAGGTTTATACTTTTAACATGCGGTTATCATTAGTTTACATTTTATTTATTGTATACTGTAATAAAATAGAATCGGGTCCAAGAACTTTCCATTCAAAACTGCAGAACTGATATGCTTCATAGTGTGATTTCACTATACCAAGCAGTAGATTTTCATTTATTTTATAGTTGAAAAATGATTGTGGCATTTTTGAACCTGGCATGTTTGACCCAGAGTCTAAATTTTTTGAATAATTGCACGTAGGTACAGAGCAGTGGTTGAGGATAAGGGGTAGGTGAAAACAGGGATTTTCAGAGCACTCATGTCTTGAATGCATGATCAGTTAATTTTATTTTATTTATTTAGATTTTCCACCTAAATGCCTTGGAGGAACGGTTTTCCCGTCTGTGGACCCAGTGCCAGAGATGTCAAGGGTCTCTTCACGAGGATGTGTTGTGTACGAGGTATGTCATATACATTCTTTTCAGTTCTCAATTCATATCCATACAGTTGTTTTTCAGTCTCAACGTTTTTTTTTTTCCTTTGGTCTTTTTTTTTTTAGTCGGGACTGTCCGATTTTCTACATGCGTAAAAAGGTTCAGTTTGACCTGGACGATCAGAGCAAACTGGTGTCACGTTTTGGCTGGTGAGACTGTGAGCTGTTTGTCCCCATGTGCCTATCTTCTTTTTACTGAGTTGTATGTTTTGTAATAATGGTATCTCAATTTCATTATATTTGTACTGTTTAACACTAGGGCAAAGTAAAGATTTTGTAAAATAAAATGAAACAAAATTTTCCTGGTTATGGCTTTTCATAAACTTACACAAAATTTCAAAAACCCTTTATTTATCAAAGAACGTAAACACCAAAAACGTGAACACGGTACAGAGTGCATCAAAAGCATTTCACTCAGCAAGTTTAAAACTCAAAGACTAGCGCTTTATTGATCTGCGGGCTACAAAAGTGTACATTTACAGTAATAAAAATAAACTATTCTGGCAATAATCTAAAAAAAAAAGAAAAACAATGTAATACTTGGCCAGGGGAAAACAGAATCAAAATAAAACAATGGCAAATTACAGCCACACTGACTTAAATCAATTATGTCCCTTATTTTCTGATGAAATTTTAAAATCCTGTAAAATATAGTGTACACAAATAAAAATTAAAGCACAAATCTAGTACACAATCTTTAGGGGGGGGACTGTAGTCAGAAATACTTAGTTTTCCCAGCTTTTGTAAAGATTTTGACAACCCTGAAAAGGACATTTATGGCATGGCTACAACATGGTAAAATTACTGTTAAAATACAAAAAAAAATTACAGCTTATCCAGTCAACGGGCACGAGCTGGAATTACAAAAAAAAAAAAAAAATCTAAAAGTGGATTTGGTCAGCTATGTGTGGTCCAGAGCTGAAATTGAATGTGCAAAATCGGAGAAATAGGTGCAGTGTATCCGGCATAAAACAGGTTTGTGATCTGTGTAAGTGCTGCTATAGGATTGTGCAACGTCTTTGGCTGTTCTTCTTGCTCTTCTTGCTGCTGCGGTTGGTTTCCTTGTATTTTCTTATCTCACGCACAAGTGAATAGAATGCTTCCTCAACACCCTGCAAATACACAAGATAATGACATAAAAATAATATAAATATAAAGTGGCTAAAGTATGGGTGACGTAGTTAGGATTACCTGTCTGGTTTTGGCAGAGGTCTCCACAAATGGAACTCCATAGCTCCGGGCGAGCTCCTGGGCCTGCTTGGTCTCCACTGTGCGGGAGTTCAGGTCACTCTTGTTTCCCACCAGCACCATGGGCACACTGTCGCTGTCTTTCACTCTGTTGATCTGCTCTCTAAGGAGGAACACAATTTTTTTTATAGCATGTTTAGTTTATTTGAAAACAGTTCAATAATTTGTATATTCTGCAATACAAACACCTGTCAGCACAAAGTCCAACCAAGATTTTTGTAGAGATCTAAATGCCTAAAGTAGTGTAGACTAAAAATAAGGGACGGAGGAGACTGCATTTTGTTTTGCAGAAGGCTTCAACTGTGCAAATTATTGCAGCCTGTCTTATTTTGCACCACTGCATGACACCAAGCAGATCTTGTCAGTTTTCTGTTGTAACATGGCTAGATCGGTGACAGATAAATTTCCGTCTGAAAATATAGACAATACTCACATCACAAGATATTAGGCAACTGCAGTGAACATGGTAAATAAAAACAGATCTATTATACAACATGTCTGACCAATATGGAGAGGGTAGATGTTGTTTAACATGCAAGTACAGAAATTGGAGCAAGTGTATGCAGTGATACTTAAAACGCGGTAATTTTATTGTAAAATTTGACTTGCATAGAAGAAAGATTATTTTTCCCAGATGTAGTACCTGTAGAGGTGAACATCTTCAAATGACTTGGTGTTGTTGATGGCAAACACACAGAGGAAGCCCTCCCCTGTCCTCATGTACTGGTCCCTCATGGCGCTGTACTCCTCCTGACCTGCAGTGTCCAGAATGTCCAGCAGACATGTCTCTCCGTCGATCACAACCTGCTTTCTATACGAGTCCTGGATTACATTTTAAAGCGTATAGATTAGTAAAAAAATGCTGTTTCAAGGTGAAGGTCAATATTTGTCTCCATGGAGATATGGTTGGTGTAAAACTTATCTTTTATCTAGTCAATAACAATGGTTTTATTGCTCAAAACCTTAAAACATGCTTTCTTATGGTGAGTGCGCCCGCCTCTCCACAGATCTAATCTACTTTTCTAGACTAGATGGACAAGTTTAATGCCATACTGCGGAACATTTTATTGTCTTTACGCATTTTTGTATCTTAACTCCCTTCAAATGTTTCTCTAATATTTAAGTTATATTATTGGATGTATTTTTTTAGCCATTAATCTTAAGTTTTCATTGCAAACTTTTTATCCTCCTGATATTCTTGGACTTTGTGTCACAACACCCCTCGAAAACAATATCTTTTCCTCTAAATAAATCAATTCAACACTGTAATTTCATTATTTAGGTACAAAGAAGGGTCTCATATCTTACTCTAAGCAAAGAAATAACATCTCCATGGAAACCACAAGATGACAGTTACATAAAAGTTACACAGTGCATCTTTAAATTGATATGTTTAGAATATATAATGTTATGTGAACTGTCTCACCTCGATGGTTGGATCATACTCGTCCACAAAGTGGTTCTGGATAAGTTGTATCGTGAGGGCACTTTTCCCCACACCTCCTGCACCCACCACCACGAGCTTGTACTCAGTCATACCTGCAACTGCACAATTAAGTCATGAAATATTGTAATTAAGCCTGAGTTTAAAAGTAGATCCAAAGATATCAATGCAATGAATGGCTCAGACAGTGACCTAGATTTACAGCAACCCCGTTATCCCTTAACATTACTATTAACACAAAATCTACGCATTGGTGAATACAAAATGCAAAATGTTAGTTAAAATTGCACGTTTTTCATACCTTCACGCAAGTTCGGTTAAGATTTGGAAAAAAAAAAGGTGAAGAAATGAGAATAGCCAGCTACATTACGCTAGCATGAAACGATTTCCTTGTTGGTTGACGCTAGAAGAAAGGCTAAAATGATCTTTCCAGAAACCGAATCGGGCAATTCCTTGTTCAGTCGGGATTATAATTGACAAAAATGCTCAATGTAAAAGTTTGTCATAAATATATAATAGAAAATCGTGCAACTTCACTCTCTGCTGTGGTTCATTGAGGTAAACGCTGACATAATCCCTACCGCAGCCAATCAAAATGGAGAATAGGAGACTGACAATGCTCCTGTCCAATCATATTGCAAGAAAAAATATGATCCCCGCCCATGTCCTGAGAAGTGTCCAATCACAATCGAGAAAATGTAGACTCCTTATTTCTCAGCGACCAAGCCCATTTACGTCTTGTTAAAGGACTTTATAAAACCGGAACATTTATTTTAGACGACTGCGTTGATTATCACTGCGATAAGTAGTAATATTTCGTAATAAAGAGCTAGCTACAACCATAAATTGGAAGTTTTGATGGTGTTATAATATTTTTAGGTTGACACGTTAATTTGAAGTAATAAAACCAGTTAAATGCAAAAGATGAAATTGGATTAAAAAAAAACAAAAAAACAAAAACAAAACATAAAACAATCAACAATCAATAAAAAACTCGCAAAAACACAGCTAGGCCTAAATTGAGATTATTTAGGAAAAAAAAAAAAAAAAAAAAGCACATACCAGGAGACGATTTATCATACATTCCTGACCTCTAGCGTCCATTAAATAAATAGAAGTCAGTCCTGTTATTTGATCATTTAAAGGTACACTACGTAACTTTTCTGTGTGCGGTTCTCCCACTTTCTCCATTAAATTGCTTTAAAATGAATGTTCCACTCTTTACTATTAAACTGGTCAGCTATATCTTGCATTTTTTTCAAATACATGTCAGAAATTACTTACTCCACAGATCTGCCTCGTAACCACTTGGCCTGATCATGTCACCTTTGTCTCCATGGAGATCAGATGTGTTAAAAGCCATACTGCGGAACATTCCAGGCATAAAATACAACATCTCCACAGAGACATACATGGAAGTAGTTACAAAAGTGACATTATTTTGAACTGTAAAATTAAATATCTTGATTAAAATGTAATATTTTCTAGCAGGTTTAACACACGTTTGATTCAACACAACTCCACAGGACACACACACAGCAACACAGCATTAACCATGATCACACTCGCATCCACACAATACCCGTCCCTCCCTTTGGTCCTGCGCCTCCCTCCGCTCTCCCTTCCTCTCTCACGTTTCTCTCTCTCCCTCTCCCACTGAGTGCATCTGCTCTTTCCATCTAATCTTTGCCTAAAATCACACCGATAATCCTCCATCCATCTGTCCTACGCGGGCAGAGACAGACAAGTGACAATGCAACCACCACCGTGTACAAAACAATGCTGCTTTAATTTGCCATAATAACCCCCAGACTTCTTACATAAGCGATTGACCATACATTTTTATTTTACATGGGAAGAATTTGTCACATATACATATCTATTGTACAAGCGAATACCACCTGTTTCCATGGAGATATTGTTTTTCGTTTCGTCACCTAGCAAAAAAATAAATAAAAATAAAAGGACCACGTATTCTATAAAGGAGGACAACATTGGCAAGACAAACACTGTAACAACACTTAAAATAAAACACTTTTGCATTTGCATTTTCATAACACTGACTTAACGGCGGTATGCCTCTCATATACTTTATCCACAGAGCAAAACACAGCATTGAACATTCACACTAGCGTTCGTAGTCCAAGATCTTTGTAGAAAAGTTGGTGTAAAAACGTGGTTATTTCTGTTTATGTACTGCATGTGGGTGTGTGTGGGTGGTGCTCCGGCTATTTTGTATTTGCTTGGTATTGTAAATAATACTTTTTGTGAGTCAGCAAAGAAACTCTTCATTTTCAAAGTTACAAATTCTGCATTTATAGGTTCTATGTTATGCAAGATTGACTTTTGTGAGGTTTTAGCCATGTTATAATGTTCTTACCTCGTCAAAAAACATACCTGGAGGTGTGTTTTGTTTCATTTACACGTTTGAGTAACCTTTTATTATTGGTCTGATAACAGCTCCAAAGCTCTGTTCCACCCTGTGATGTCATGAAGTGGTAGTTTCCAAGTTAACAGCTACCTTTTACCTTTTATTCTGTAGAGATTGGCATTTCCGGGGCTGAAATCATCCAAGTGATTGTAGTGAAGGTGTGTGGACTTTAAAAACACAGCGGAGCACTTCCACTTTATATATTACCACATGACATCACAAGGTGGAACATGACAATGTCCCAGGTATGTGAGAGAACCACATTATGGACTGGGACGGAGCAAGCACCATTGGGACAGAGAACAACAAACATCATCGCTGGATTAAAGAGGCAATCGAAATACAGAAATACGTAGTTTTTTTTTTACTCTCACACACCTGGGATACTGTCCTGAGGAAGTCGGACTGCAGATGGCGCTGTCCTCTTGCCTCCACCGGTAAGAACAGTGCCAAAACCTGTTTAGGTATAAAAATAAATTCTAGGTCTGAGAAAAGAACCCAATAACATATACCAAGTATTTTCCTGCTTGTCACGATGGAGATGTTTTTGCTCCAGCTGGAATGTTCCATAATATGGCTTAACATGTATTTATCTAGAATTTCTTTCATTACAGGTGCTTTTACTACTGAAAAATGCACTGAAAAACATGTATTTTTACTAATACACATTTCCATGGAGATATGTATCCTGTGAAACATTTCAGGTGCAGCAATTACATCACCATAGAGACAAGCTGATGGTGTACCCTCTTCCGTAAAAGTTACATAATGAATCTTTAGCTAAATATCTGTTCATATATAAATGTAGTAGGCTATGTGTCAACCAGTAACAGCACTGCTAAACCCATTTAAACATGCTCACTGCACAAGGTTCCACACCTGCACCCAACAACACACACTTACATTTACAAATAAAATCATAAAAATTAAATAAATAAATAAAAATCTGTTCCATCAGCTCAAAAATTTCACAACATTAAGACAGCACCAACTCAAAAACGGCATGAAAGAAAAAAAAAATACTGCTGAGAATTTGATCAGTACAGAGAGAGAGAGAAAAAAAAAAAAAAACTGCACAAAAGGAGACTCCACACATGCTTAGAAATCTTGGTTGTGTTCATGATTTTCTAGCCATAGTTCTAGATGAAAATTCCTTATTTCTGCTGACAGGGAAGACAATGAACTTTGTGACCGTTTTTGTTTCATGTGAATAGATCGGATAATAGGGACATCACAACATCCTAAATTCCTAGATTAAAAATGAGCAGTAGGACAAAATTCTATGGTGGACTTTGCTATTTTAACTGTGAGATTGCAGATTTGTTAACCTGGTTTGTAGTTAATATTTCTGTAATTACTGGACTTATCCACATAAAAGAAAAACTAGCACAAAGTTCAAAGTCTTTAGGCTATAAATTGACAGAAGTGAAAGACATTTTTAACAATAGCTTTGGAAAGTGGAGTCATGATTCAACCTCGAAGACTTGATTGTCAGGAATTTATGGAACCAGTCGACAATTCAAAAGACATAATTTTTGTTGTGAATTCTTAATTGCTATGGCATCGGTCCTAATCACTAATTACAGAGATTCTGACCACAAACCAGGTCAGTTTTGACAGTTAAACTTATAGTTCTTCTGCAAAAAAAGGCGAAACAGATCAATTTTGAAATTCTGCCTTAAAAATTGCAATGTAACATGAGCCTGGCCTATTGCTGGAATTTATGTTGTAATACAGCAAGTTCTTGTGTCTGGTCAATAATATACGATTCAACATTTATAGATTCACCCTTTGGATGTTTCATAACCAAATTACAGTACATGGCCAGGAAAATCAGATAAGTAGAATAATCAGATAACCCAATATTCATATCTCATTTGTGCTGTACTTGCACAAAAGAAATCTGATCATCAAAACACCTGGGGATATATGTCAATTAATCAGTGGAATTTTAGAGTAACCATTGTATTTGTTTTTGGAAGACAAAGAATTTAAAAATAACTATGAAATTTAATTTTTACCTTTTTCTCTTTCATTTTTGTCTTTGCCATAATAGTTTGCCCTTTTTTGCATAACTTTCCTTGGCAAAACCTGGCTACAGTTACATGCAAACTCAAAATTATTATTATTTTTTATCAGATTTCTGGTGTTCAAAGATTATTAAGATGATATTTAAACAGCAAGGTCATAAAATTTCTTTCTGACCTCAGATTTTGGAGTTAGCATTCATTTAAATCATCTTAAAGGTCCAGAAATCAGACAATAATCAGATTTTGGTGTGTGTGTAACTGCAGCTAATTTATAAGACATGTCAATAATCTGATAACTCCAGAAATCAGATTATGATCAGATTTTTGGTTTTCATATGAACACCAACAGTACAAAGTGACTCTTGCACCCAAAAATGAAGTTTGACATCATCACATAGAACCTGAAAACCACAAATGTAAGTGTACTCTGGTTAAACAATAGAGTATATTTAACCAGAGTTCAGTGTGGCGGATGATTTGTCATATGCACACTGTGACCCACATGGCTTAGTTAGGTCAGACACAGGTGAGCTCGCACTAGACAGCCCTCTCTCTCCAGCACAAGCGCTCCACTCCACCACGGACCTGTGCACATTCTAATCTGCTTCACATGCTCCCACTACTGCACTCTGATCTACAGCACCTGCCCAGACTGAGAGAGCCCACCAATTAACGCAAAACAAGTCACAACATCCCATTAGAAAATGACACTGAAATGGATGGCCAGAGGTGGGTAGTTATATTTAAGCAAAATGTTTACCTTTTACTTTTTACTACTTGAAGTTTTGGATACTCTTCCCTCTGTGAGTAACTGAACTTTGTGTTTTTGTTTCATGTGAATAGATCAGACAATAGGCTACGTTCAAGGGACATCACAACATCCTAAATTCCTAGGTTAAAACTAAGCAGTAGAACAGATCAAAATTCAATGGTCGAATTTGCTGTTTTAACTGTGAGATTGCAGATATATCGACCTGGTTTGTGGTTAATATTTCTGTACTATTACTGGACTTATCCACATGAAACAAAAACTTTGTACAAAGTTCAAAGTCTTCTTTGTCAGTAAGCTATAAATTGACAAAAATTAAATCATTTTTTACTTCAACTGTTTACTTCTACTTAAAGGTACAGTATCTAACATTAGGCATTACACGTATCTATTTTTCATAGAAACAAGCAGGTTTGAGCAATAAAAACACCTGCAGATAAATAAATGCAAAATAGATAGATTTATTGCCATGCTATGGAACATTCCATGAAAAGCAATAACATCTCAAGTGATACGAGCAGGTGGTGGACCCCCAACCAGAAACTTAGTGAACCTTTAATTAATATATTTCTGAAGAAACTGTATTTTTTTATTATTATACCCACCTCTGGTTACTATAAAGACCTATTTGAGTGATTTTGTGACTATAGAGACGTGGAAAAGCCCAAGACAAGAACATGGAGCAGCTGAGTACAGTGAGTGAGTGAGCCAAGAGGCTGTTGGTGCAGAATAACAGCCTGGCTTTTGTCATTATGCCCCAGGGCAGCTGGGGATAGAGAAGTATTTTACCATCAGCAGGTGTGGTGGAGTGAATGAATAAAGACTACTGTCGAACTTGTACAGCACACTACAAATAAAAGAAACATTATTAGTAAAGTTATAGCCCTCCTTTGGACAAATTTAGAGCTCCATCAGATTGTTGGATTGTTTCAGCATCATATGGATTGTCTGACTGTATTGTAATATTTCTTGCACTGTGCCACTAGCTCATGACATCCAAAATACACATATATTTAAATCTGTCGAGTCACACATAACCCATAGCACACCCATACAGTGAATGCACACGCTGATATGTGCAAATAGAAATACTATCTAAAGGACCGTCCATTCCACGTAGCAAGTCGCAGTGTCTTCATTGTTAGAAATCCGTCTTGTTTCCTGCTGTTTACTCTTGCTGTGTAAAGTCATTGGTCTAGGTGGTCTCCCTCCCCTCCTCCCTTCCCTCCTCCCTCCCCTCGTACTTGTAGGAGTTGTACCCAGGTGGCTGCACATACTCCTCAGACTTGTCCCAGTCCGACACCCAGCCGCTGCCAGCTCCACCCCCTCCGTTTGAACCAACCACCTGGCTCATGGCCCCGTACTGCCCGCCACCGCGGTACATCTCTTCTGTCTCATTGGCCAGTTCATCCTCATCAATAATGCCACATTTCTCTTCACTCGTGTCCTCTATGTCCGCCCACGGCTGCTTCTCTCCCGAGGCAAAGATCCCTATGGAAAAGATAGTTATTAGTAAGTCCCAATATAATCTCCCACATAAAAGTTTATTAAAAAGTTCTACAACATAATAAAATAAAATAAGAAATATATTAAAGCTACACAGTGTATTTTTCTGAAGGTGAAAAGCCATCTGAATGATTCCACGGAAATAGAAAGCCATACTTCGGAATATTTTAAATGGATGGGTTTTATGCTATATTGTGGATTATTACCAAAGGAACAACATTTCCATGGACATAAGCAGGAGGACGAGGCCCTTCTCTAGGCTAAATAAGAGTCAGGTTTGTGGAGATGCAAGCCCACTCAAAGTAAGGAGACACGTTTTTCTGTTTCTAAACTTTATGTATGTTTAAGTTTTCTATCAATGCAATAAAACCCTAAAAAGATGCCTTTATTTTTGGCAAATCTTGGCAAAAACAGCTGTACAGTGTTAGCCTGATTCATCAGCCAGTTTCACTTTGTGGAAACCTCGCACAGGATTCATTTGCTCAACAGTAGGCGAGTTATTTTTTTATTTAATCGCTGCTATTTGGTGACGTATGTTATGCGCTGGAACGCTCAGTGGTGTCCAAGTAATTGCAAGCACAAGAGCAAACAAAACAGAGTGAAAATCTTTGATCTCGGGAATCGTTGCCAACACAGAATGTATGTCTTCGTCTACATTCATCTCAACTGCTTTGTTTACTGTTGTGCTGTGCCACAAAAGGGACCTAGTTTGACGTCACGGCTCCACAGCTCTTCGGTAATTGGCCTATGCGTGGTCTACAACTTCCAGGGTTCATGCAAACCATCTAGTGTATTCCGATTCCTAACCTAGGTACTAGGCACTAGGTGGCGCCAGCCTGGCTAGCGCATTGTGGCTTTAAATTAATTAATAAAAATTGAACCTAAACAAATAAAATCCTGTTTCTGCTTCAAATTATGACCGTCTGCAAAATTTTGTATCTTTTACACAAATATTAATATTTACACTACAAATGTACATTGATACACCTCAACCTCAACAGAATCAAAGTAATAGTGTAAAGTCAAATACCATAGAAAACCACTCCTCCATAATGGACAAGAGAGGCGATCAGAAACACTCCTTGCCATTCCTCTCGTGTCTGAAAAGAAGATAAAAAAAAACTGTAGTTACACTTGTACTCAAAGGCCTAGGACTGCAGCCTTCCAAGAACACGAGGGTACCTTATGTTTGGTCATGGCCCCCACGATGAGAGGACACACCATTCCTGACAAAGTGCCCACACCGTTGGAAATGCCCATCAGAATACTTGCATACCGCGGGGCAATGTCCAAGTGGTTGACGTTAAAACCTGTTTGAAAAGGGAAACCGAAAAATAATGTTAATTTCTTCACACGCTACATTCACTCATCAGAAGGGCTGGGGAAAAAATACTAAATCTTAAAATAATATATATATAATTAAATGTCTTTATCATAAACAATACAGCCACAAACTAACAACTGCAAACCAACCTGTGTCATATTAACTTAACTGACAGGAAAAATAGATTATTTTGTGGCTAATAAAAATTTATTGAAAAATAATGATTTTAAAAAGCATTATCGAAGCAATAACCCCCTAAGAATCTCTTGAGACCCAAATTTGGATTCTGACCCCCATCTTAGGAATCACTGTAAATTAAGCATTTCGCAGGATTTTATTTTTAGGTTATTAATTTTGTATGTAAATTAACCTACACTACTACACCTACACCAGTCAAATATTTGGTCACTTTTTCATAGGGAGGCAACGATCCAGCTTTTTCAATTTTGTTAGTGTTGTATTACTACGAAATTGATATTATGGCTTTAAGTATTTGCTGATATCTGATATTAAAGGTTGTATAGAGGATTTTCCAAGGAACGAGAAATCCAGCGACTGTTTGTCCTTTTTCAAATGTTGCGCATGTGTGAAACCACCCCCCCTCCCCTACAGCTCCCTACGTAGAAACGCCTCCTCCCGCCTCCTCCTTACGCCAGAAACAGGTTTGTTTACAGCCGGTGCGCTGCACATGACTTGTAAACAACTAACTACAGTGTTGGTTAGGCAAGACGGAGAAGTGAGGAGCGGGGGTGCGCGGACATTTCGTGCGCGGACGAGAAGTGAGGAGCAGGGAGAAGAGCGGAGCAGGGAGCAGGAGAGAGGAGAGAGGAGAGGGGAGCGGTGCACGGAGATTCCGTGCCCGGAGAAGTGAGGAGCAGGGGGAAGAGCGGATCGGGCAGCGGGGAGAGGAGCAGGAAAGGGGTGCAGAGAAGGTTGCGCGGAGATTCAGTGCGAATGAACTAGCTACAACACGCAGCAGCAAGCGGACTCTTTCTTTGCATTGAAAATTACGTTTTCAGACATAGGATATCGCTTTCGTGTCCTGAAAAACGTTTGACTAGCTCTTGGAAATAAAGTACGTTTTCATAATAAGCAGAAGTGACCTGTCCAGGAGTAATTTGGCGACCAATGCGTCAGTCTTTAGACCCTGCGTCTGCTTCAGTTGCGCCATCGCTGGAATGAATCTTCAAGAATCACCTTAGTTTGGCTTCGCTGCTTTTCCCCTTGTCTTCTTCTTTCAGCAATCTCAAAAACTGACTTTCTTTTGCGGCTAACTGCTCCTGGATTCTTGTCTGCCATTGCAACAAACTTTGTGCTAACTGCGAGGAAGATATAGGTCAAAAAAAGCCGCTAAGAACTGTTGCGTTGGTGGAGTAAACAGCGTCTGTGCGGCTTGCGTCTGTGGACTGCGTGACAGGCGTACGTAAACCACGTACCGGCGGCGCGCAGGCAAGTCAGTTACGCTAGAAACGTAGGGAGATTGATTGACAGCCTGTCAGCTAACAGATAACGAGGCAGTGTCGTTATCTATTGGCAAATGTTTAGCTGGCCCCACCACGTCCAGAGTTGATGAATTTTTATTCTCTTTTTTTTGGTCATCATAATTACAAGGCTACTGCATCTCTATAATGCTATCATTGACAATTTGAAACAAAAAAAACAAAAAAAAAATCCTCCATACAACCTTTAAGCGATACTGTTGTTGGTATTGTAAATAGAATTTTTGTCTCTCAAAACACAGTTAATACATTTGATCCAATTCTGTTATGTAACTTATTTATCCTGCAAGAACAGAACAGAACAGCTTTGCATGAATTAATGTTTAAACATTATGAGATAACCTTGACCTACATTAGTCTCATTACATCCAGTTAAAGACCCAACCAGGTTATTGGCTGAACTGATATCATGGAACTGATACCTGATCCAGCAAATTTTCCTGTATTGGTATCAGTACATCCCTACTGTTTCTTTAGTTTTTTTCTTTATTTTCCTGACTATTTACATGGTAGATTCTCATATCAATACTTTGAATGAACATACGGAAAGTAGTAAACAAAAAAATTAACTCAAAATAATTCAAAACTAGTTTTAGATAAAAAAAAAAAAAGCCATCCTTTGCTTTGATCACTGGTTTGGACCCTTGACATTTCTTGTCTCCAACAACGCACAGTAAAAGTAAAAAACATTTCAGGAGACTTCATCATAAAGCTTACTGAGAGAAGGCCAAGATTTTGCAGTGCTGTCGACAAAGCAAACGGTGGCTACATTGAGGAATTTGAAACTACAATATAAATATATTTAGTTCATTAACTTTTTTACATAATTCCATATATCTTGCATCATATATTTGATATCTACTGTATGTATTTAAAAAGTAGGTAGTAGTAAACTGGTAGTGTACCTAACAATAAATATGTTCTTTAATGACTTCGCACCACCTACCTGAGATAGCAAAGCCACTAAATCCCACAGCGAGGACCAAGAAAGAAATGGCGATGCCTTTGGTGTGCGAGTATCCCACCACGAGTAGGAGTGTGGCTTCCATCCCAAAACCTAACACGTCCAAATCAAACAAGGAGGAGTGAGAAACACAGCGACAAGAGCGCACAATAGTCACTTTGTCAAACTTCTGAGACAAAGCCTTCATCTGTGTACCATTTGCCTGTGACACTGACCTCCACAGTTCATGAGCTTCCGCACGTTGGTGGTTGTCATGATGTTGTGTGTCCTCAGGTAGTCCGCCAGCTGGCCCCCGAGTGGAACGATGATGGTCATGACCAGATGGGGCAGAGCTGACACTATTCCCACCTAAAGGGAAGGCAAAGAGGCCAGCACGGAGTTTGGCAAACAAAAGGAGGTGGTTATGTCACTCGTACAATGCAACAATAAGAGACAGCATGGACGATCTCAGATACAACTGTCAGAATGATAGAGGTGCTAATTTATGTATTTACTCATGTAATCAAGATTGACAGGCAATAATTTAAAGACTGGGTATTACACTTACACTGGCATATTCACTGTCAACACGTAACATATTTAGATCACCTTTTTGTTTTGAAAATGCTATATTTACCGAAAACAATGTATTCAAAAGTCCAAAAATCCCTCCTCCCTTCGGATTAGTATTCCAACATATCCACGTGTGCATCTGAAACTACTGAAAACTACTGCACATTGCATCAGGTTTGTAAAGTTGTAGTGTATTTTTTTGTGTCCTGTATATTTATGGAAAATTCTTGTACAGGAGCATGGGTGGCCTAGGCTTGTATGCTGAGCTTTGGACAGAATCGGGGCAGCAAGGAGGGTTCAAATAGGACTAGGGAGAGATCGCAAGATTACTCAAACATGAATGGATGACATATAAAATCTCTTCAGGTGTGTTTCTGATAAGAGAACAATGTTGTAACATGGCGGAAAAAAGCTCCCCAGAAATGTCTTATTTGGCGGATTAATATTTTTGTTTATGTTCAGGAAACAATAGGCTCTATTCATGCTTACATCACAAACCAGGAAGGCGTTTAGAAAGATGCAAAGATGACTTCCGGTGGGCTCTGTTTGTGGTAGTAAGTCTGACAAATCTAGGAAAATTTAGAAAATGGCCCAGTTTTCTTTCTTTGTCATTGTATTCTTTATTTTTTTCCTTTTATAAATTGCCTATTAATCTGTGTATTATAATTTATCTAATAAAAAAGTCACGCCCTCCATGGAAAGCTTTGGCACGCTGTGAAGACCGCTGCTGCTAAATCCGCTACACCGGAAGTCATAATCGCATGTTTCCAAATATTTTCCTGGTTTGTGACGTAAGTGTGAATAGAGCCTACTGTACTACATTCACACGGTAAAGATGAGTGAAGTGTCTTGAAGAGCAGCACCATCCTTCACTTTAGTGTGTGAGCCTAAATACAGTGTATTACTTAATAATAATTTAAACTTCTAATAGAGAATTGCAACATAAAAAAGTTTACCTTGCTGATCTCGAACCCAAACACTTCCTCAAAGTAGGCCGGCTGGCTGATGAGCAGCAGGTAGAAGGTCCAGCTCCTGCAGAAGTTTGCCACAATGATGGCATAGACTGGCATAGAGGTGAAAAAATGTCTCCAAGGGGTTTTGAATTTCTGTCATAATAACACATGAGGCATTTTAGAAACACAGGCCCAATGTCTCTTTGTTGTTTAAATATCCAAACACAAAAGATTTTGATGTAGAGACATACTTGAAGAGGATTGAGAAATGATGCAGATTCTCCAATAGCGTCTTCAATGTACTTGCGTTCCTCTGGGGTGATGGTGGGGTGGGCTGCAGGACTCTCATATGAGACCAGAATCCAAAACAAGTACCAGAAGATACCAAAACTGCCTGTAGAATCCAAAAATTCTAGGCATTCAAAGTAAAAAGATGAACTGTATTGTATGCTACATTTTAAACACACTGACCATAAACATAGAAGACAGAGGGCCAGCCACTGTATTGGACCAGTATTCCAGCTAAAGGCATGGCGACTACCGCTCCTGCATAGGACCCTAGGAGGCATCAAATATGTCCACGTTACACAATTATAATTATTACAGTGCTGATTCAAAAATAACTTAGCATTTGTGCTTGATCACTAAATACTTTTCACTTACCACAAAAGGCAGTTGTGGCTAATCGACTTCTCTCCAGTGGAGGTGCCCACTTTGCCCAGATGCCATGGCAGGCTGGGTATGAGACACCCTAAGCAGAACAGAAAGGAGTTTAATTTATAAATTGAAATGCAAATTGATGCTTTAGATGTAAGTACATGTAATTCTAGTATATACGAATCTTTTAATTCTAGTTCTACTTGGTCAAACACAGGGTTTCCCCAGGTTTGACTACCCCAAATTTAAGACTTTTCTAAGACCTTTTTAACACCACTTAAATGAAAATTAAGACCAACATTGTACCCATTATGCAGGTGAAAAACATCAGATCCAGTTTTAATAATGACCAACCAACTACTATATCTAAAATTTAAGAGCCACCTGCACTTCCCCATGATCCATCCAATGTCTTCCTCCACTGTACTGATTGTTTACTCATTGCCGCTGGCGCCAGAAATGAAAGTATTGTTTGCACTTACTCCACATTAGACGTACATTCACATGATTTCATGTTGTTGTTTTTTTTCCTCCCTCTGTTTCACATCGCACTGCAGACTGGTTGAGTATACAAAAAATAGGCTAATAAAATTTAAGTCAAAAAAATAATACTTGAACAACATAATTTAAGACTTTTTAAGGCCTTAGGAAGTTTAGGCTTTAGGAACATGAAATTTAAGACTTTTAAGACCCCGTGACTACCCTGCAAACAATGTGAACAAACTATCAAGTTACATTATGTAAAATGCAACACACTGATAATAAAATGGTTGTTGTGACTGAATGTAGATTTCTTGGTACTGCTATTATAGGCTTGGTATCAGTATAGACCTTGCTAATATGACATCAAACTGGAACATAATGTCAATAAATACAGTATAATAGTAATACCCACAGAGAGACTTGGCTCTTCTATCGCTGATGTGAGAATAAGATGTGTCTTACCTCCACCAGCCCCTGACATATCCTGACCAGGATGACACAGCTGTAATGGCAGCGAGCAGCACTGGGGATCAGCATGTTGAGCACTGATGTGGCCACGATTGCAAACCCAAACACTCTGAAGAACAAGACGCAGGAAATAAGTTAGAGCAAACATTATTTTATCACGCAATAGTTACCATCAACTTTGTCATGTGCAAGTACAGTCTGGTATTTTCAATTTTAAGAAACAACAATTTGATTTACAGTACAACATTAGACACAATACAGTATATCTCAAAACCACAGTATTTGCTAACACACACCCACACAAAATTATGCTAATGTCTCAAGAACCTTAACTCGACATTTATATGATTTTAAATACATATACTTTGTCATTATCGATTTAGTCCTGATTTAGCCTGATCTTTGTCCCTGTTCAGTCTTTCTTATATTTTGGATTTTAACCAGGTTTTTACTGTATCAAAATATCAAAACAACTGTTTACCTGTTGGCTGCAAATTTCTGACATATAAAACCTCCTGGGATCTGTGTGACGATGTAGCCCCAGAAGAAGGAGCCGTGAATCATTCCCACTGTCTCCGGGTCCCATGTGAACTGTGCAGCCTGGAACAAGGCAACAACAATTGGACATTAGAGAAGCTACTATGTTAGATTTTTAGTATTTCATTATTTTCATAGTGAACTGCAATATTGTTCCAAAAGAGTGTAGTAATAGTAACAGGTACATTTACTTCTGTCACTGCAGATTCATGTTCTTGTTTTTAAAGATGTTATTAAGATAAAATATTACACAAAATGGATTCTGATGAGCTTTGCTTTAAGCCATGTTTTAATGTTGTTCTCTCATCAAAACAGACCTGGAGTTGTGTTTTGCTTCATTCACACATGTCAGAGTAACTCTTTATTATTAGTCTGTCTACATCTACCAAAGCTTCAAATGCTCTGTTGCACCTTGTGATGTCATGAAGCTGCAGTTTTCAAGTCAACAGCTACATTTTATATTTTGTTTAGCAGAGGCTGACAATTCCGTGACTGAAATTTCCAAACAATTCTAGTGAAGGTGTATGGAGTTTAAAAACACAGTGGAGCACTTCCTATATTATCACATGACATCACCAGGTTGAACACGGCGTTTTTTGTTTTAGAGAAGAGCTCAGTAAATATGCAGAGTTTGTGTGTTTGACATGTGCGAATGAAACAAAACACAACTCTTAGTAAGATTTTGATGAAGCAACAACATAAAAGATATAATATGGGGCCTTTAAAAGCGACGAGCGCAGAATGAAAACCCTTTAAGACAAATGCTAAACAAAACAAAGTAGAGCCTGTTTTCTCACATCTAGTGCAAACTGGTGCTCAAACAAACTCACCACGAGCACTTCCTTGTTGCCTTTGTAGACGGTGTGATCGTTCACCATGCTGACGATGGCCACCCCGAGGTTACAGCGGATCCCAAAGGAGATGCAGAAGCCCAGGCCGGACAGGATGGCGATGATGTAACGCCGCGGGAGACCGAAGCACGTACAGTCCACGACGGGCATCTCCTTCTCCTCCACCAGCTCCGGGCGGCCCTCTGCGGACAGCTCGATCGTCTCTCCATTGGGCTGCCTCTTCTCGATTATTCTGAGGGTAAAACAAAACATTACAATACATGATACAAATATTATGAGCTATAGTTTTTGCTTTCTATACACTTTTTTTAATCAGGGTTTGTCACATGCTTTTCTTCATGGAGATGTTTTCGCCTCATCTGGAATGTTTCACAGTATGGTATTAAGCTTTTCTATCTTCATGGAGACCAAACCAGACCAAGCTACAGGTCAGATCTGTGGACAGGTAACCCCACTCACAGTCAGATTGTTTGTTTTTCTAGGTATTTTTGAGCTATAAAACCACCTATAATTGAATAAATGTAAAGTAGAGCTGTTTAATGTCATACTGTGGAACATTCCAGGCAGAGCAATGACATATCCATAGAAATAAGCAGGTGAATGGCCCTAAACCAAAAAGTTATATAGTCCAGCTTTAAAGTACATACGATTTTGATGTTTTTCTATTTATGACTTGGTTTGGTGGGATAGCACCTGTGGTCAATATTTATCCTAGTTTTGCATCAGTTAAGTGGCAGTTTATGGGAAGAAAATAGAGAAAAGTAGAAAAATGGTACAAAAAAGTACAAACAGAATCACTTTAAATATGTCATCAACGCAAAAAATTCCATCCTATATACAGGAACTATTTACACACAAAGAAGACAAGAGTTTAAACTTTCATTTAACAGAGTAAAGGTGTTATAATTTTTATTAGTCTAGTCTTAACTATTGTGTAATTTAGACAAGTTTGGCTCTAGTTAACTAGCCTAACTTAGTAGAAACCGTCTGACCTCGCAGCATTAGGATTTGTTTGCTCGACAGTAGGCAGGTACTTTTTTCATTTAACCAATTGCTGCTATTTGGTCGTGATGTATGAAATGTGCCGCTAAAATTCACCAAACATTCTCGTCATTCCAGCTTTAAATCCTCGATCTCGGGAATCGTTGCCAACACAGAATATATGGCACTTTGCTGATTGGCTGGTGCCCGAACTCACATTTTCGGGGTTTTTGCGAACTGTCTGGTGTATTCGCTGGAGAGAAATGAAATTGAGCGGAGGTACTAGGTGGCACCAGCCTGGCTACTAGTTAACATTTCTGGAGGTACACAAATTGTAACAGTTATGGAATTACCCCGATATATGTCACATCTGCTGCGTTAAAGGTCCTATATTAGGCAAAACAGACCTGGAGTTGTGTTTTGTTTCATTCTCATGTTTGAATAACCCTTTATTATTAGTCTAATTACATCTCCAAAACTCAAGTGTGAGGAGTTAGTTTTCAAGTTAACAGTGACCTCTTACCTTTTGTTAAGTAGAAAATGGAAATTCCACGGTTGAAATCAAATTAATCTAGTGAAGGTGTATGGAGTTCAAAAACAGTGGCGCACTTCCTGTATTACCACATGACATCAAGGTGGTGGAACAGAGTGTTTTCTGTTTGACAGAAGAACTCACCCTAAATATGCAGGATTTGTGTGTTAAACATGTGTGAACGAAACAAAACACAACTCCGGGTATGTTTGTGATAAGGAAACAATATTATAACATAGATCAGAAATTAGTCAAGCATGGGTGTTTTAAATCAGTTTTACAAAATTTGAAGGAAAAAAAAAATAGGCAAGAGGCCAACATTTGGATTGGGTTGACCATCTGCCTAAATATATGCATTAAGCTTTATTTAGTGCACAGAAAAATCTGACTACACGGCTTTCTTATCCACTTTGAAGTAAAACCGGTTTGTGGAATAGTTTGTAGTAAATAAAAATTATACAATTTGGGGAAAATAATCCAAATATCTCGGCCATGAAAAAAAATACAAAATGGGTCAGTCTCTAATGGTAGACACACAATAGACTCTTGCAATGTTTTTCACTTATCCTGCTGTAGATTTCCAATATTCCCGATCTTTCAGTGCTCCCTAGAGATTTGTAACATTGACTTTTAAGCGTCATTTGAACAAAGACAAAAAAGATAAAAGACAATTAAAAATAGCAGAGTATTAAAATAGCTTTTCTGACCTAAATATTAGCGTATTCATGTTGTTTAATGGGCAGAGAGTGATTTGGAGTCACTTTTTCCACAGGAGCCCAACAGTGAAGTCGGAGGAGCAGCCATCTGTGTGTTATGGCTGAAAATAGCACCCTCAGCACACTGCACAATACGCAGGCATCAGTAAATACTAGTCATACTACATACAGTCGTACAGCTATGAAATATTAAGTACCCTTGTATCAGAAACAAATAGGATGGTGTTTTAGTATTTTAAGAATGAAGCTTATTGGTTAAAAATGTTATAAAAGCAACAATGATTTACACATTATTATGAGAAATACCTGCATATAAAAAAAAATAATAATAATAATAGAATTTGAAACATAGACCTGGCGGTTCAGGCTTATATGTTATTCTTTGACAATAATTAAGTATGGCAGCCCCTATAGTCATTAATTAACCACATTTATTTAAAGGTAGGCTATGTAACTTTTCTGGTGAGAGGTCAGAGAAGTAAAATACAAGTCAGATCTGCGACAAGCTATTTTTGAGCAATAAAAACATCCTTAATAATTATAAAAAGGGCAAAAGTTTAATCCCATACAGTGGAACATATCAGGCAAACAGCATCTCCATGGTAACAAGCAGGTGACGGACCCTCCATCAGTAACGTTACATGGTGCACTTTTAAGGTTTAAACTAAAAAATTTTTGTCAATTGTGGCCACTAAGTAAATGTAGCAACAAGGCAATGAGATAAATGTGGAAAAAATGTGGACTTAAAAAAAAAGGCAATGGTCTGTTACAGCTTCACGATGAACGCAGAGAAAACTACATAGACCATGATGCTTTGCTCCTTTTCAGTGCAGTCAGAATTCACTACTGATTTGAAATTCTTAATACATTTTGCCATATTGTGTGACATTTACATATTAGTGTTGTCATGATACTAAAATTTAAAACTCAATTGCAATACTAAGGAATAGACTTGATTCTGATACCACGATGATACTAAAAAAAACAACACTCTTTATTAAGGTAATTGAACGTAATTTTCAACACTGTATATTTTAATTCTTTTAAATGTAATCTTATGTGTGTAATCCCCTCAGTCGTCTAGGTTGCTTCAGCAGTGGTCCATGGGAATGTGGTCTGATGCATCTCAAGATCATTCTAATATATTTAGGAAAGTTAATTTCTGTCCCGTGAACGTATCTTTTTAATACTGATACCTGCTCAAACGAGTATTTAGTTTTAGTATTGCTTTTTAGCATTAATAATAAAAAACCCTATGTGCTGTCAATCATTAGACCATCTTTGCACAGTTTGTCCTTACAACCTCGTGTATATAGCTGAGATATATTTGCATTACTATATTTTTATATTTTATTTGTCCTCCTACATACAGTACATTTACAGTCCCTGACAAAAGTCTTGTTGCTTATTCATTTTGTAGAAACAAAATCTTATAACCTGACTTTAAATTAATCGATTGGTTTTAGAAATGTCTCATATGAAAGCTAAAACCCTCCCAAATTATGTTCAATATACTAAAATAAATTTGCTTCACTGAAGAAAGATTGATCATTTAATGAACACAGAAAGGTCAGATTTTGGCAAGACAAAAGTCTTGTCGCCTTGTCATATGATGCACCCAATCCTAGATTACAGCCTCATCTGTGATCAGTTACTGATCGATCAATTAGTGGGTGTGTATAAAAAGAACCCCAGCACACCAGACCTTCACATCAACTGCAACTTGACCTCTGACAACATGCCTAAGATCCACCCTGAGACCAAAGCGTTAATTATCAAGAGGCTGAAGACCAGATCCACTGCTGAGGTGGCTGACACCTTCAATGTGTCTCAGCGTCAAGTACAAAGAATAAGAAAAAGATCTGAAATGACTGGAGATGTTTTTGACAAGCCCAGGTCCGGCAGACCCCCCAAGACAACTGCTCAGGAGGACCGTTTGCTGATTCGAAAATCCAAGGCCAGCCCCTTTTCCACTGCAGCAGACTCCACCAGGCCTGGTCACCTCAAGTCCCTGTGTCAACCACAACAGTTTGTAGAATTCTGTCTCGAAATGGCCTCCATGGTCGAATCAGTGCACAGAAACCAGCACTAAACAAAAGGCAATTAAAAACCGTGTGGAATTTGCCAAGGCCCACAGCCTGCTAAAAGGATGGACACTGGAAAAGTGGCAGAAGGTGGATTTCTCAGATGAATCCTCGGTTGAATTACATCACAGCCACCGCAAATATTGCAGGAGACCTACTGGAGCCCGCATGGATCCAAGATTCACCCAGAAAACAGTTAAGTTTGGTGGTGGAAAAATCATGGTCTGGGGTTACATCCAGTATGGGGGTGTGCGAGACATTTGCAGGGTGGAAGGCAATATCAATAACCTAAAATATCAAGAAGTATTAGCTACCTCTTACATTCCCAACCATAAAAGGGGTCAAATTTTGCAGCAGGATAGTGTTCCATCGCATACTTCTATCTCTACATCAAAGTTTCTCAAGGCAAAGAAGATCAAGGTGCTCCAGGACTGGCCAGCCCAGTCACCAGACATGAACATCATTGATCATGTCTGGGGTAGAATGAAAGAGGAAGCATGGAAGGCAAAACCAAAGAATCTTGATGAACTCTGGGAGGCATGTAAGACACTTTCTTTGCTATTCCTGATGACTTCATCAACAAATTGTATGAATCATTGTTGAACCGCATGGATGCAGTCCTTCAAGCTCATGGAAGTCATACAAGATATTAAATATGGATCTCACAGCACCACTACTTAATTCACTGACGTTATGCAACATATTTTTGTATTTGAAGTAAATTATTTGTTCAATTTTCTGTAGGCGACAAAACTTTTGTCTTGCCAAAATCTGACCTTTCTGTGTTCATTAAATGATCAATCTTTCTCAGTGAAGCAAATTTATTTTAATATATTGAGCATAATTTGGGAGGGTTTTAGCTTTCATATAAGACATTTCTAAAACCAATCGATTAATTTAAAGTCAGGTTATAAGCTTT